ACTGGAAATAATCCAGTGTGCATTAACAAACGAATGAATAATCAGATTATGGTGTAGATGCACAGTAGAATGCTACTCAGAAATAGAGTAGGATAAATTACTGATATATGTCACAACCTTATCTTGTATAACAGTTAACACAATTTACTTGTGTAATAATTAATTTGGCCTTTGGCCTTGGTTTCTAGGGGGTAACCTGTAAATCCTAGGAATTTTCCAAATTATAAAGGTGTCTTTGATACTTGTGGTGGGCCCCTCACACCACACTTGAGTTTATGCTACTGAAGTGATTTGCGAGGATCTGTTAGATGATTCACGCTAATGAATGATGAGGGGTGGGGGCTGATCATACCAGGAGGACCAACCATGGGCTGAGAATGTCAGGACTTCGAGCCATTTGCTATCAGTGTGACTTCTGGGAGAGAAGAGGTTGTAATGACTGAGTCACAAGCCAGTGAGACAGTGAAACATGCCTGGGTCCTGAAGCCCCCGTGACAAATCAGACAAAACGCATCTGTTGAGCCTTCCTGGTTGGTGACCCTCTGTGTACTGTTACACATTAGTGTGCTGAGGCAGCGATGTACCCAACCTCTCCAGGGAGAATCCGGAGAAGTCCCACATGTGGGACCCGCTCAGACATCACCCTATGCTGGCTCTGAGTTGTGTCTTTTGACATAATAAAACTGTAATCGCAAGCATAGTTCTTCCCTGAGTTTTGGGAGCGGTTCTAGTGCATTATCGAAACTGAGCAGGGACTGGGAACCCCTGGGCTTGTAGCTGGTATCTGAGGTGAGGGTAGTCTTGTGCCCTAACCTTGTGCCTGACTCTGGGGAGTTGAGGTTAGAAGTCACTGCAATTATACATAGCTTTAGCTTCAAAACCCATCAAATCGTATAATTTAAATCCGTGAAGCTTATCACAACTATTACTCAATAAAGCTATTTTTAAAAAGGCTCAGATTAAACATCACTTGCCATGACCCTGTCTAGAATCTTCCATGGTTTCCCCGATGTCTGCAGAATCAGGGCTTTCCATCACCAGGCCCTAACTGACCTCTCCAGCCTTGCCCATCAGCACTGTCTTATGCAAATCCTCGGCTCCAGCCAAACTGTATTTCTTGCCTATTCTCTGGGAATTCTTTATGCTTTTCCCACTTCTGTGGCTTTGCCCGCACTATCAGAATATCCTTCCCTGAGCTACCACCTTCTGCCTATTCAAAGTTTACCTGTCTTAGAAGGCTTAATGTAATTTTCAATGTAATTTTCCTTAAAAAGAAAAAACCCTTCAAGTTCTTTCGTTAGAAACAATCTTTCCCTTTCTTAAACTACAACAGCGGCATTTTTCGTGCTGTCCTGTGCTTCTTTATGTGTCTGTGTCCATGGTGCAAATCTCCTGGACAGACTACTGGGGCTAGGACTATGCATTTTGTTCGTCCTTGAATTTCCTATAGCAAGTAACATAGTTCTTTACAAATAGACTAAATAATCAAAGCACAAATTTCTTTGGATCCTTGCAGGATGTGGTGGCACACAGCTGTAATCCCAACACTATAGGAAGCTGAGGCAGGAGGCTCACAGGTTTGAGCCCAGCCTGGCAAACTCATGAGACCCTGTCTCAAATTAAAAGTAAAATTAAAAAGGCAGGGTGGCTGGGGGTGTAGCTCAGTGGGAAGTCCCTGGGTTGAATCCTCAGTATCACACACATGCACACAAAATATTTGGGTCCTTAAATCATGACTTCACTCAGCCTCTACCTCCTTTACTACCTTAACCCTCCTCCAACCCATCCTGATCGAAGCAGACGTTAAAATCTGCACACCAGGGTGCTCCCGTGTGGGGGCATCAACCTGATCCTACACCAGCTGTGCTGTGGGCAGCTAAGAATGGCAGCACGCTCTCCTCCCCTTCTCGATTCCTTCTTCAGACCAACCCACGCTCACTACCATAACGCTTTTTCCAATTCTCATTCTTCATCCTTTTGTTTATACCAAGGGGCCCTATCTGTGCTTGCATTTTGCTATTCTTGTGTGCTCTGGCTACAATTGTAAATACGGTCTACTATCCAGTAAACTTCAAGTGACAGTGGCCTGAATTTCCCTCTTTTATCCCCTCTCCCCGATTCTTGCCCACAGGCCAGGTTTACTGATTAGGATCTCAGGTCCCGGAGCCACCAGATCTGAATCCTGACCGGCTGTGTGACCTCTAGCAAGTTACCTCAGCCATCAGCTTGGCATCTGTTGAGTGGAGATGTGCACAAACAGCTGTAAATTGAAACTGCTAATAATGACATCTTGGGATTGTTTTGAGGACTAGATATGCTATCTTAAGTGTTTTGGACAGTATCTGACCTATGGGAGCTGCTCAGTAGCCATCATTTTGTGTCTTCTTCTTTTGCTACATCCTCAACTCTTTTTACTTGTTTTAATTTTAAGACAGGGTCTCCTTAAACTGTCCAAACTGACCTTAAACTTGTGACCCTCTTGCTTCAGCCTGGGATTACAGGTGTCTGTATTCTTCTTTTCACTGCAAATTAGAAGCATTTGCTAAAGAAGTGCTTAGCCCCTTTTGGAAAGGGAACCAAGCAGATGGGTGCTAGATTAACCACATCAGAATCACTTGGAAACTTCAGGAAAAATACAAATTTCTGTGCCTCACCTGGGAATCCTGATGACACCAAACAACCTGTCCTTTCCTACATGCTTCTCAGAATTGCACAGCCAACCAGACCGAGGAAGTGCTGGTGTGTAAGTAAATACCCTCATTTTGGGATAAGGAAAGCAGGCTCCAGTCTTGTGTCTGCCCATTCCCCAGTGTGAGACTTTTCTGAAATTCCATTTTCTCTTTTGTAAAATGCAGATTAAAATTTTGATTTATTCACAGTCACTGTAGGGGTCAAATCGCTGGAATTATTTCCGTGGGGAAGCTGGCTCACTGGGGCAACAGGAACACAGGCTTTGGAAGGAGATGGATGTGCACGTGAATTTTGCTGCTGCTGCTTCTGCGGATGTTCCTAGCAGACAAGCCTATATCCAGCTCTTCTTCCTAACACAACCCCAATTTTGCCTGAGGTATCACCGCACCCAGCTGAAAATGCTGTGCTTCCCAGACTCCTCTGGGATGGGTGTGGGAGGATGTAACACAGTTCACACAGAAGTCAGCTGAGAAGTTCTGGGAAGGCTTTTGCTTTCCTGCTCCTGCTTCCCTCTTTGTCCTTTTGTCTTTTCCTGCCTGGAACATAGACAAGAGGTCTGGAGGTTTAGCAGCCATCTTGTTATTATGAGTACAAATATGGTAGGGACACCTACAAGCTCAGTGATGGAACCAAGAGACAAAAGGGTCCTAGGTCCCCAGTGGCATCACTGAGCAGTTCAACCAGCTCTGGACTGCCTATCCCTAGGCCTCTTAAATGAGAGAAATGTATCTCTGGTGATTTGTGGCAGAGGTACTTTTGGGTTGGTTATTTGTATGCTAAAGCTTATTAGTGAGAATTGAAAGAGAAAAGTCCTAGAAAATGCCTGACCAGGTGGACAGTCATGTAACTCTTCCCTTTCTCCAGCTATGAGATAGTTTATGCATTTGCACAGTGAGGCTCCTTCTAAATCCAACGTCCTGCTTACTTGATTATCAGGGAGAAGAGCTGGACTTTGGGAACTGGCCTCGGAAATAAAGGGCCTTTCTCTGAGGGACAAGGAGTGTTCTCCAGAAGTGGCTGGGCACAAAAACAGTACCTGTAACCCCTACCCAAGGGGACTGCCACGTGCTAACCTGATGGAGACCACTATGAAGCAACTCTGAGCAGGATTTAACATTAACCAATTGGCTTTTCATGTTTACCTGTTAGTGTGCCAGAGGCTTAGGCCCTTGTCTGGAGATGGGCAGCAGACTCATAGTAAGTGAACCTCTGAGTCATTGGTCCTAGATGAGACCTGCATTGGCCTGTGAAGTTGGGATGCCTCAAAGGACAAGATAAGGCCACAGCTGAGGACATTTGGCTCCAACCCCAATTAACTAAGAGGAGACTGCAGCTGAAGGCATCTCACTCTAGTGGTGAAAGCCTTCCTGGAGATAATATAGTTCCAAATTAACATAAAGTATTGCTTGAAGAGGTCCTTAAAGGGATCCCTAAGTCCTGCCCAGATTCCTGCACTTTCTTCAGTATTCCCCTTCTTTGTTTGAAAACCTAATAAATACGGGCTGCCTAGAGAAGTCTTGGTCTAAAACCTCAGAATCTCCATTTCTGTAATAGGGTTGGACCCTCCTGGAGCCCTAAAATAATTTCAATTGTCTCATTTATTTAAGCCTTTGCAGTCCACTCATTTGGAAGATTGCAGGCCTGATCAGCCTGCAATAACTAAGGGATTTTATTAACTCGATACTAACCCAAGCAGATGGCTAAAATCTCCATGTGCTCTTGGGAGGAGGAGCATGCAAAATGTGGGTCCAAAGGACATGAAATTGCAGTAGCTCTGATGTGCGTGGATGATGATTCTAAGGATCTTTTCCCTGGTGACAAACACTTGAGTGTAAGAATGCTTTTTTTTTTTTTTTTTTTTTTTTTGGTACAAGGAATAGAACTCAGGACCTTGTGCTTGCCAGGTAGATGCTTGTGCCACTGAGCTATATCCCTGGCCCTTGAATGTAAGAATGAAAGCGACTAACTTCCCAGCACACAGTACAGGAGCCATCATTTTCTCTCACTGCAAACTTGAGTCCTTGAGTGTGAATACGGCTCCTTCTCATGAGTCGGGAGGGAGAGGGGTCAAGGTGTTCCCTTCTATTCTCAACCTGCCTCTGCTTGGCTTTTCCAGGGGCAGGCTACTGCCTCTACAACCCTTGAAAATGCTCTTGACTCATCCGAGACAACCACCCTCTCTGTCCAATGCATTCTGCAAGTCCTCATCACCTTCTTGACCCCAGACCTTGCAGGATCCAACACAAACCAATGTCAAAATATAATGACTACAAAGTACTTTTTTTTAAAGCAAATGCATTCTTCCTCCATTATTTTAAAATGATTTAATGACAAAAAAGTCAGATCATCTTTCACTAGAAAAGTAAAGAAAATCAGGCCTCCAGCATAGAAATGCCTTCTCTCTCCAAGCTCCTTGCAACCCAGGGTGGGATTCTGTCCTCAGCGGAGTGAACTTTGTCCCACCCATTAGCTGCTTCCCAGATCCGTGCACTATGACCTCCGCTCGCCTCTCTAGTTTGAGGGCTCCTCCCTCATGGCCTTCACAAGCCAGTCCCGTTCTGACCCTGGCTCAGAGTCGCTGGTATCACTCCCCTCCACGGCCAGCAGCTTGGAGTAGTTGATTTTCCGCTCTTGGGGCAGCCTGGGCTGGATGGACAGGAACACAGCCAGCCAGAGCAACAGGACCACACAGCAGGTGCGGTAGAGCACGGCCAGGCTGAAGCGTATCACCAGGAAACCCCCCACAAAACTGCCCAGGCTGCAGCCCCCCCAGTGGAAGTGGCCTCGGAACATGGCGCTCAGGGGCCTCTCTGTGCCGGGGGTGGCCAGGTCCTCCACGGAGGCCTCCACGGCCCACCACAAAACCCCACTGCTGATGGCACTCAGAATCTGAACAGGGAAGACGGACCACCAGCTCCAGAGGAAAGAGTAGTACAGCAGCTGCCCGGCGAGGCACCCCAACCCCAGTCCCACTGCACCCACCCTGGACAATTTCCGAAGCAACACAGTTTTAAACGGGTAGAGCAGAATTTCCCCCAGCAAGCTGAGGGCCACTGAGAAGCCCATGACCAGCTCACTGCTGCCATGATCCTCCATGTGCCAGAAGAGAAAGTTCTGCACTGTACTGGTGACGATTCCTATCAAAAGAACAGTGAGGGCCAGGAGGAGGAGGCGGGGGTCGCCCCCTAGCAGAGACAGTGCTTTGGTGGTTTTGTAGCCGGGCTCCTGCTGCTGGTAGGTGGGGACAGGAAAGGTAACGCTCACCAGTAAGGACAGCGTGCTGACCAGTGAGTAGCCGTAGAAGCACACCACACCCCGAGTGCCATTTGTCATCAGGAAGCAGTCCAGTCGCCCCACAAAGGCTGCGATGCCACACACACCTGCTGCCATACCCAGCAGTCTCCAGAGCCCCAGACTTCTGTATCGGTCAGTGGCGTCAACAAAATCCAGGTATTCATAAAGGCTGTCGCTGGCCACCTGCTCCAGAGGGGCTGCCAGCAACTCCCAGAACACTATGAAGCCCAAGGCGAGAAGGAAAGTCCACTGCAACCCTTCTGAGGAGAGCTCGAGGGACCCAGCTTCCCCCTTGGCCTCTGAGACATTGGCTGGACCGCCCAGCACTGCCTCTCTGGGAAGCAGGAGGGCAGTATCCACCACCTGAGAAGCACTTTCCCAGGAAGTGAAGGGTTGGAGAAGGAGGGGTGTGGTCCGAGCCCCTTCCAGAGAGCTCTCTAAGTGCAGCCCCTCCAGAGTTTCTTGATCACTTTCCCCAGGTCCAGCTGTGAAGTCAGAGGCCTCCAAACCTTCGGGCCTCCTCCTGGCTGGGAGGCTGGGCAGCCCTGCAGGGTGGATAGAGGCAGGATCTCGCGCAGCGGTCACGGTCACAGTGAGTGTGACGCCTGGTGGCCGGACTGTGGTGGTCATGCTACTGCTTCCATTGCAGGGGCGATGCAGCACATCTGTGTTCAGCGGTGGGACCAGGACCATCAAGAGGCTGGCTCCCGCCGAGCCGAGCAGCGAGCCTACCAGAAATACTCTTCTTTTCTGGCAGCTTTTGGCCAGGAAGGCACAGAAGGGACCCCAGCAGGCTGCGACCAGGAGCTTGCTCCCCATTAGGATGCCCACCCAGGGCGCGGCCAAGCCCAGATGCCTCAGGTAGAGCGTCAGGAACGGGGTCACGCAGGCTTCCCGGACCCCACACACCAGATGGAAGAGCCTGGCCACCCTCAGCGCCCTGCGGATGTCCCACTGGGGGTTGGCGCTCATGGCTGCGCCGCTCCGTCACACTCGGGCCGGAGGAGGGCAGAGCTGAGCACAGGGCGAACGCGGCGGAGGCCGGGGAGGGCGCGGCCCCATGTCCCGGGAGAGGCTCGAGAGAGCAGGGCTCACAGACAGCCGGATTCCGTCTCTGGCCTCGGGCAGCGCCGCGGTCACCCGGTAAACCGCCGCCCATGTCCGGCCACTGGCCCGGAAGTGACCCCGCCCCGAGGGGGCGGTGCTGCGGAGGCGGGACCCGCACACCTGCTGCCGCACCTGCCACGTCCTGAGGCCTGTTGCCCCACCTGCCAGGATGTGCGCATGTGCGCGAGGGGCGTCTCCGTGGCCGGCAGGAAGCTTTCGGAGCTGGGTCACCACAGGCTTCGCTCCACCCATGGCTACGCCTTGTCACCCTAAATCCGGGCTAAATCTCTAATCTGTGAGCCTGGCACTCAGGCAAGTAAAACTGTAAGGGTCAGAGTCGGGGTTGGGGGAGCAAGACTAGAGTGAAAGATGTTCATGAGGCACCGTCCCTCATCTTCTTCAGGTCTTTACTCCAATGCCCTGATCAGTGACCACCTCCTAGAGATCATCCCTGTCCACCCTAAGTGAACTGCCAATCCCATCCCCAAGACGTACCTTCCCCTTCCCAGCTTTTTCTCCATAGTACTTCGTTATTGAGTGTGCTGCGGTTTAGAATTCATGTATTTACCTTGTTTATTGTGTTTCCGTCAAAATCAAAGCTCCAGGAAGGCAAGCATTTTAGTTCCCAGGACCGAGAAGTGTTTCACCACATTCAAAGTTTCCATGGAAGAGGCATGACCTTGGGTGACACAATTATCTGCAGCCAGGACAATCTCTAAAGAGGACTGACAGCTGAGGGCAGTCACATCCAGTCCCCCAGCACGTCACAGCCTCAGGACAGCACTGTGTACTGGGTAGTTCTAAGCTACACTTACAGGATATAAGTTGCACCTGCGTATGTGGTTAGCCGGAGCCCAGTACAGTGGCCTACTTCCTTAATCCCACTACTCGGGAAACTGAGGCAGGTGGCTCAAGAGTTCAAGGCCAGCCTGGGATAAATAGCAAGACGCTGACTAAATAAACAAGTAAGAAAAAAGACACTTCAGAGGCAGCTAATACTAGCACCTCAACAACAGAAGTGGCTTTGTTAACTAGCATAATGGTTTTCATTGGTGAAATTACTGACATCCAAGTCATGTGCACACATTTTTTCAGAGGCATTTCCCCTCTCACTTGAACAGGATACAAGAATCTATGCTGAGTAACTACTTTAAAGATAATGATACACAGTGTATTAACTGTTGTTATTCTCCTGTAATTTTGTTATGAAATTAAATTTTTTTCATAAAATAAAAAGAAGTATTTAAAAAAAAGAATGTAGAGATTCCAGCACCCAAAACCCTTTGAACTTTTAGACTTTGCTCCAGGGTGGCTCAGTGTCCAGACACTGATTCAGTAAACTCATGCAGGGTTTGCTTAGAGCACCTAATTTGGGTGGGGCAAAGAGGGGAAGCTTGCTAACACCTGTCCATCTGTGTGTGTATTGGAATTTGGTCTAAAACTTACTTTCATTGTAACTGGTAGAGAGATAGTTGTAGAGGAGCTCTAGAGCCTTCACCTAACTTGAAAAGCTGGAAAACTCTGCAAATATTTACTTTAAAATGTAATGATTATGAATGCTCAATTTTTTTTTTCTTTTTTTTTTTGATTTTTTTTTCTTTTTTCTGGTACTGGGAATTGAACTCATGACGTTGCGCTTGCCAGGCAAGCGCTGTGCCACTGAGCTAAATCCCCAGCCCCTGAATGCTCAAATTGATATGAATCAGTTTACGTCACCTCAATGCAGAAGAAATAAAAGCTAGCCACTTCCAGGTAAGTTCACACAAATGCAGTATATTGTACATACTACAGTCCTTTCAAGTTTGGACACACCTCAGACAGTGAGGACTGTCTCTAGTTCCCCTCCTCCCCAGTCCCTGCATCAGAAAGCTTCAGTGGAGGTTATGACATCCATCCACATCTTTCTCTTAACCTGCCCTGGGTTCGTCTGTACTAGGAAGCAGGCACTTCACTGTGCTGCTATTTATCAGGTGCTCAGGTCCACATCTGGTGCCATGTTCTACACTGGTGCTTACAGCTGCACCCTTTATCATTTGAGACCTGTTGGACTTACCTGCTTCTGGCTATCTTGGAAAACCTTTGCTGCTTGACTTTCTCTAGGGCTACCCTGGAATCCATCTATCCAAATGCCCTGGGCAATGCTTCTTACTTTTGCATGTGGTGAAACACTTCTAGGTCCTGGGAACTAAAATGCTTGCCTTCCTGGAGCTTTGATTTTGATGGAAACACAATAAACAAGGTACTTACTCTCTTTTCCATGGCATCGAGAATGTGAGACTTGCCCCTACTCTAGGGGCAATGAGGCCAAGAGTGAAGTGTCTGCCTCTTTACTCTTGAATCCCCAAACTTTAAAGGAATTATTCTACCACCTCTGCCCCATAGCCATCATCCCAGGGGACTCTGTCCAGGTAATGGGATAGACTCAGGCCCAAGTCTTTTTCTGTTACTCCCCCCACCACCTAGTCCTAGAGCTGGACTTAAAAGTGGGCAAATACTGGAGCTGGGTTATTAATCTCCCCTATTTCACACTTGGATGCATGTTCTTAAACGCAGATATCTTACGCTTGATGTTCAGATATCTTAAATGCAGATGTTCTTAAACTTGATGTCTTTAATTTTTGGCTCCTTGAAACTACTATGCATCCCCAACCTATTTGGGGACAGTGCTGGTCAGGAGAATCCTTGAGTTAAGGAGAATGAGGAGAAAAAGTGCAGGGAGAGACAACACAGCAGCTAATACCTTCACAAAATCATTATCTGGCCCATGAAGATTCACTGGGTTATATTAAGAACTATTACCTGTTTTGTGTTAAAATACAAATGTTATCCAGTGTTAGATGAGAACAGAGACACATTAGTGTGCATTTATTGACTCTGACATTCTCCCTTCCACTGGGGGAGTCCCTGGCTGGGGTGGGAGGGAGCAGGTGCAATGGTCTTTACTTCTGACTTTCCCCTCAGCCACAGGGCTCAGGCTGCACAGCACCTCTGAACTTGGTTTTAAGGGCTGGGTGGGGAGTTTGAGTGGGCCAAGATGGCAGAAGAAGTGGGAGTTGAGAATAAATGTAGGAGTGGGCATTCTTGGGAGGAGCGGGGCTGTGTGCCTGCCCACATGGGGTCACCACTTTGCCCGAGTGATCTTCTGGCCGTAGTGTGGGTCCTTTTCCCTCACAGCTCCCAGGTACTCACTGACTCATAGTCCAAACCAGAGCCGCCCAGTGGACCTGGGCTTATTCTGGCTGTCAGTGTGAGTGTCAGGGCTTTGATGAGGGTAGTATTTCCGTCCTCTTGGGCCTGCTGCCCATGGGCCCGCCTACCCAGTGGGCTCACTGGATAATGCCGGAGAATGTGTTGATGGGCATTAGAAGGGGTTTGGACGTGGCTTGGGTTGTTTCCATCTCCTTCTGTCCATGTGAAGTGGTCCATGACATCTTGGGCTTCTGGGTCCTGGAACATGGCTCTGGGCAGGGGCCCACTTCAAATCTGTGGTGGGAAGGGACAAGCTCAGGGGAGTCACCTCAGAGATCAGATCTGCCCAGGGCATTTGAAAGATAGACCCATTATCATAGGGTGTATAGGAGCGGGCCACACAGAAAGAAGAGGATGAGTCAGGAGGGGAAAGAACGTCCGTCATGAACCTGTCTAGTTGGGCAAGGAGGAAGATGGCTGCACTGAGTTGTCTGTTCTCTGTGTTTGCCTCCTTATCTAAACACACATCCCTATGGAAACACAAAAGGGTCATATCAACTGAGGCACAGATGCCATGGGGTATCCTGTGTGGGATGGCCAGTGCCAGCAAAGAGGGTGGGGTCAGGAGGGCTTCAGGCTGCATGTGCCTGTAGGAATCTTGGGAACATTTAATATCAGTCTTTGCCTGGTGTCAGCCATTCATTTGCCTCTTCTTCTTGAATTCAAGTGATAGGGCAGTGGCCTGAGCCCATGTGCACCAGGGATGCCTGCCTGGCTACCAGCTCTACCTCTGACAAGGTGCCCTGGGCTAGCAGACAGAAGGAGCTGGCTCCAGCTTAGGTTTGCCCCATGGGGCTTGGAGCACTAGTGCTGGCAGACTCAGCTTACCTGACCACATCTCTGAAAGTGCGCCGATTATCTTTGTCCAGCAATAGCATCAGCAGCCTCTGGTCTTGGCTCTGGATCTGGATGCTGGAGGTCCGAAAGGTGTTTGTCACTGTCTATAACAGAAAATGAGGGAGGGAGGAAGAGGGAGAATGAATGAATATATAAGTGTCACCGTTGTTAATCAGATGGCTCTGCCAGCATGACCTTCTGTCCTGGAGTCTGGTGTGGATTTTCCATCCAGCCCACTGGGTCCCTGGCTCTTTTCCTGATTCTGGGCAGTGACCACACTGCATCAACTGCCTCCCAGTTGTCTTTAGATCTCACATTGTTTCTAGAGTGCTTTCTCAACCTGTTGTCCTCAGATTTAAACAGACCAGAATGCTATGCTAATGCATGCCAGGTGTCTGGTCTTGATGTTGATTTATTCAAGAAGTATTTCCTGAGCACATCCTATATGACAGTCACATTTCTAGGGGTGGGACTTGGAAATACTTCCAGAGTTTATAAGTCCTGACCCCAGTTCTGAGCATTAAATTACATATAGAATTATGTACCTGGGACATAGAGGGTGTAGAAAGCAGCTGACAATAGGCAGGGCTGAGAACCACTGAGTCAGTCCCCAAACCTTAGACCAGGCCAGAGGAAAGGCTCCCACAGCTGTCCTTCTAACCTCCAGTCAGCAGAGGCTGCTCTGGAGAGGCCCCTCCCATGGGGCAGAGGACTGAGGGCATGATGGGTACTATGCAAGGCTTGCAAAGGACCTTTCTGCATCTCTGGCTCACTCTACAAACAGGCAGCAACTTTGGGAAATGCACAGCTACAGAACTCTGGAGCTGCAGGAGACCTTGAAGTCTGTTTCACTCAAGTGTTCTCAACCTTGGCTGCTTATAAGAATCACACATAAAATTAGACATTCTGATTTAAGTAGCCTGGAGCTGACAACAGGCAGGGCTGAGAACCACTGAGTCAGTCCATTGTGTCATCACAGATAACAGCAGCAGCTTCAGCCTTGGTTGAGGAAGGTGTCAAGTATGTCTGGACTTTCAGTTGGACTCTTGTTGGGGTGGAGTAGGGTGGAAAGAAGCCTGTGAGCAGAGTGTGCAAGAATGTCCCAAGAGAAGGGTCAAAAGCAGTCTGTGGGCCAGACTGTCCAGGTTTAAATCCTGGCTCTGCCACTTTTTAGCTATGTGCTTTGGAGCATATTTCTTTTCTTAAAATTTATTTTTAAAATAAAAGAAGGAAAACATATTAACAAACAGACATCCATTTACAAAATAGCATAGAACAATACAAGCAATACTGAATTACAGACAAAGTGATAGGAAATTAACAATGGTTGTTGTATTACGTATTGATATCTTCAAAGTGGTTTCTCAGGAAAACAAATAGAGACATGCAAGATTGATCAAATAAGTGATTATTAACTGTTCCTTTCAGTAAAGTGATAGAAGTCAGTAGTACAATTATGTTAGCTATCCTGTATATACATGCATATATAATTTCCCCTTCTTTCTTTTCTCTTTTCCCTTGTCCCAATTGCTCTTTACTTTTGAGCATTTTCCTTTCATTTCATGGAGCATCTTTCTTACTTTGTACTATTTAGAAAAAAAAACCATAGTGATAGCAACAACTACCTTGTAGGGCTGCTGTGAAGATGAAATGAGATAGTATATTTTAAGTGCTTGAAACAGCACCTGGGACATGGTAAGAGATGTACTAATATTGATTGTTTATTGCTATTAACTGTAATTTCCAAGAAGGAGCCAAGCATAAATAGTGGCCTCAGTTGCCAAAGAGGGAGGAGAGCCACTGTGGATTGTTTCTGTCTTTGGTTTGTCTCCTAGGCTAAGCCTCTTCATCCCCATACACATGTCAATCTGAACAGATGGATTGTGAATAAAAATACAAAGATGTATCAAATTCTTCATAAGGCATGGGGACTCCATGGCAGAGGGTGACAAGGGGATGGGGGAACTCTGGTTGTGCATTTGAAGTGGTGGTCAACCGTTGTGGTGCCCTGGAGCTCTTATCCGGGGGTGGATTGGGTAGAGGGCAGACAGTGGAGCCTAGTGGGCACTAACTGGCCAACTCTCCAGAGGTTTTTCAACACCGGGAGGTAGGAGATAGAGCAAGGACAAGTAAAGAGTGAAAAGTGATGGGGCAAAGAATTGAGAAACCAGACAGAGCAAGGGCGATTATATCAGGACATCAGGAAACTAACAGATAAAGACCATCCTGTGTACCTGCCCCTCAAGACTCCCAGGCAGAAGCAAAACCAAAAGTATAGGACCCTGGCTTTGGACACCATGACACTTCCTCACTTCTTCTAAAAACCTTGTATGATCAAAAACTCCCTCTTGATGGATGGGTTGAGGCAAATCCTCCATTGGGCCATGATTTCTGTAAATCCCCAGCTATAGATCTTCCCATAATCCCAGGAGCTTTACAGACCGGGTACTTTCCCTTATCAGGGCCATGAGATCTCACTGGCCCCACTCCCACCCTGAGAAATGTACTTTTGCTTCTTTTTTTTTTTTTTTTTTTTTTTGGTTTTTTTCTCCGGTACCGGGAACCGAACTCACGACCTTGCACTTGCCAGGCAGGCGCTTTTGCCGCTGAGCTAAATCCCCAGCCCCATTTGCTTCTTTTGATTTTAATAAATCTTAGTCTTGTTACTCACTTTGAGTATGTGTCCTGCTCAGTTGTTTGTGCAAGAACCCAGAAACAACTTCCTTGAAATCCTCCATCTGATAACACTAGGATATCATCAGTAACCTTCCAGAAATAACTGGAAAGACTGCAAGGGGTGTGGTCCTGCATGAGCCGAGGCGTGGGGGAAGCCAGGTGCATTCAGTTTGTGATGCCTAGCCTCACCTGGTGAGGGAATCAGGGTTCCCGCAGGTAAGGAGACAGGCCAGGAGGGATTGGATGTGACCTACTGAAGGTTGCACAGGGGAGGGCGTGGGGCCTAGCTTGCCGACTCCCAACACTGTTCCGTTTCCATCAGGCAGCTGGGGGTGTGTCTGGCAGGACCTGACCCTGCTCTCTAGACAATCAGCCACACTCTTGGGGCCTCCTCCAACCTGCCTGCGGCGTTGGCAGATGCCTTTTGTTTCCCCATTGTAGTCTGTAGGTTTAGACACAGCCGACCTCCTGGGCTTTGAACTGGCATATGTCCTAACTACAGTCAACAAACACCATTGTGGAGGCCAGCAGAGAGGGCCAGCTGCAGAATTTGCAAAGGGTGTGGTTCTCCGCAAGATGAGGGGATGGGCAAGTGCCTCCAGTTGCCTCCTGTTCTCTCTCGGCAGCTTCCTGCCTTCCACATCCTAGAGTCCCAGTTCCTCTGTTCTTGCCTTATTTACCATTGCTGTTCTATCCCAAACTTCCAATCCACCCAGTTATATCTTTGCTGAGCCCTAAACTCACCAGACCAGTCACAAGGCCCTTACCCAACTATTCTGCAAACTGGAAACACCCTTGTCCCAGCTCACCATGATCTTCCCCTAGCTGCGCACTGTTTATTCTCTGACCCATCTGGAGAGAATATGAACATGGACCTGCTAGGTTCCAAGAAGAAAGCACAGCTGCTGGATCCCTACCCACCCCCCAACAGATCGGTGCAGGGATAAAGGGAAGTCCCTGGAGCAATAAATATATAAGTTCAAAAAGCCACTGAGCAGGTTGTTTAAAGAGGTCAGTAAAAACAGAAACCAGTATAAGGAACTGACTTTGAAAAGGAAATACAACATAAGGGTAAGTGGGTCCACTTTGGAGTTTAAAGCTTAAACAGCTTGCCATCCCATGGGAAAGTGGATGGAAACTCAAACTGTCTCTCAGCCAATCACAGTGCTCCTACAGTGGGTAGGCTGTCTCAGAGGGAGAGGAAGGACTTGACTTGCTAACTTTCAGTGAGCCCTGATGTGAGTCAGACCCGCTGAGTGCTAGGGGAAACAGGAGGACTGAGATCATGGCCCTGAGCCTAAGAAGCTGCCATGCACTTTACAGAGTTGCAGATGCTTCCGTGGATGTGTCCCTATGATTTTAGGGGAGCACAGAGGTGGGCACATGGCTCACCAGGGAGTGGGAGGAGGGGAGAGCGTGTGGAGGGAAGGGGAAGAACAGGAGAAAAGGCCTTCCAGGGACAGGACACGTGTAGAAGGTGGAATTTCAGTCTGATTGCCTTTGGATCTGCCCCAGGATTGGTGGAGCACACTTCTAGGCATGTCTGGGTGGTCAGGGAAGCATGGCCTTGAGGTCTTTGGGCCCTGACCTCTTTCTCTCTGACACTCTTTCCTGCTCTGCTTCCGGGCTGCCATGGTCTAAGCAGATTTGCTCCGTCACACCCTTCTGCTGTGATATCTCAGCCCTGGAGCTAGCCAGTCATGGACTGAAACCTCTTCTTTAAATTGTGGGTTGGCTATTGTGTCTCAGCAGTGAGAAAACTAACACAACACCCTGAGACTCTTTCTGCAGAATTGGTAGGAATTAAACAAAAAGGAAGGTGGGGAAGAAGAAGGGAAAAAATGGATCTCACTGGAAGCAAACAGGACAAGCAAAGGTACAGAGGGGTAAATGCCAGAACACTTCCACACTCAGCAGTAGAAAGAGCCTGCAGGGAGTGGTGATAGGAAGAAGAACCAAGCTATGTAACCCTGGAGAGTTCTTCCTGCCTTTGGAGAATGGGAGATGACAGAAAGGTTTGACTATGGAGTGACAGATCAGAGTTCCATTTTAGAAAGATCACTTGGGCAGAGGTATAGAGGTGGTCTTTAGGAGCAGCAGAGTGTGTCAGGGAGACCATTTTGGAGGCTACAGTGTTTGTACAGCAAAAGGGGATGGATAAAGGTCTGGACCTAATTTGCATGGGACTTTCCACACTTAACACTGAAAATCTCAAATTTCTTCAGTCTCGTGCAAACTAAGACAGTTGGTCAGCCTAGCTGGACCATGAGAAGGAGGACAGTGAAGAAAGGAGAGATCTGGGAAGCGTTTGAGAGCAAAAACCAACAGGACAGGGAAATGAGGAAGGAGAGACATCTGGGGTGCTCTTGGGTCTCTGGTACAATATTGTGGTACAAAGAAAGGGTGGAAAATGGCAGTGAATAACTAATGATAGAAGAGGAAGGTCAAGGATAAGAATAGAAATCCTGGGAGTAAGGTTTATAAGCTGGAGGCAGTGGGTTCCCCAGATGGTAGAGGCCAGAAGAAGCCTGACAAAGGGGGATTGGCTGAAAGTTGGAATGAGGAGCAGTTAGATTCCATTATGGTTTGCTCTTCAATGCAGTCTAGAAGCTCGTGTGTTGAAGGCTTCATTGCCACTGTAGTCAGGTCCAGAGTCAGGGCCTTAGAGAGGTGGTAGGATCATGAGGGCTCTGATCTCAGAAGCACATTGATCTGCTTATGCATTTGTAGCTTAGTGGGCTTGGGGAAGGGTTTTGTTACAAAAGTGAGCTTTCTTTTTGTTTTCTAGCCACCATGGGGTGGGAAGCTCCACCACCATGTGCTTCTGCCATAACATACTGCTTCACCACAGGCCTAAAAGCAACTGGGCCGAGCGACCATGGGCTGAACCCTCTGAAATGATGAGCCAAAGTAAATCTTTCCTCCTTGTAAGCTGATTATCTCAGGTGCTTTGTCGCCTGATGGAAAGCTGAGATTTACAGTTCCCACTCAGCTTGGGCAGCCAATCGGCAGCCTTTCTCCCTGCCACAGACACCAGAGAAACAGAACCAGTGTCACCCTGGGGATGCTGCTGATGGAGGAAGATGGAGAGGAGTGCGGTGGTGGGATGTGTGAAAGTTTGCTCACAGAACAGGGAGGTCTCTGTGCCTTTGTCCACCTCTGCTCCACGGTGACACACACCAGCAGCCTTTCATCCTGGCCTCTCACTCCCCAGGGCAGGAACCTCAAGGACTCTTCTGAAAAAACAAAGCTGTCCTGGGAAAGAGACTTGCAGATACTGACACTGGGTTTCCTCTGTGGGAAGGACCATGGCCACTTGACTACCCACAGGGGAGCCCACCATTGACTCAGCTTTTTGTGCCTCACTCTTGAATTTGAACAGACAGCTAAGGATCACCAGCTATTTGGAGACAGGGAGAGAGAGAGAGAGAGAGAGACAGACAGACAGACAGACAGACAGACATACAGAGAGAGAGAAAGAGAGAGAGAGAGAGAGAGACAGACAGACAGACAGACAGACAGACATACAGAGAGAGAGAAAGACATAGAGACAGAGACAGAGAAAATGCACACAACCTGCAAATAGGAATTCAGAGGAAGCACACACAATTCAGAGAACAGAAGAAATTTTGCAATAAACCATTATATTTTCAGGATGGTAAGATAATATGAAGCAAGCAGTGTCCTACTGAAAATGAATAACCAGACAAGAACTATTTCTTAAAGTTTGAGGGTTTAATAAATGAACTGAATGTAAACTCCCCAAAAGTCAAAGAAACAACAAGCCAAAGAACAATGGGAGAGAAAAGATGAGAAAATTAGAGCACTCAGCTAGAAGGACTTGACATCTGCCTATTTGTGGTTCCAGAAAAGAGACAGCAAAGAAATAAAGAAAAAGAAGCTATTTAAAAAATTATACTAGAATATATATCTTAGAACTGAAAGGGACAAGTCTGCAGACCGAGAATGTCCACCAAAGGTTCAAAATAATGAACTAAATAAAAGGTGCCTTTCTGTTCAAAGTCTGGACATAAGAAGCCATCATATTTTGCAATAGCACTAATGAAAGCTAGAAGAAAATCCAGATTCCAAAGAATTGAAATGCAATTGACAAAATCAAAACCATGGTGAGAATGCTGACAAACCACTTCATTTCAGAAAGATGAAATGGACAAAAGATTTTACAAATGCGTAGATTATAATAATACAATGTGTTTGACTTAATAAACTTCATGCTTTGCCTTCTATGCATAGAAAACAAGTTTCTTGTTGGCACAGGATATTAAAAAGTTCACTGTGTACCAAGCAATGTAGAAAATGTTAATAAATTCCTTAGAAGTCGGAGCTGTGTAAGTCAGATGCTTTGGCTGTCCCAGAGGCATCTGCTAACCTCAGGAATCAGGGGCTCCAGGCGGGGCAGCCATGGGGGTGGGAGACAAGGCCTTGTGCCCGCATGAAGCAGTGATTTGAAACTGAGATTCCCCTCAAGGTCTCTTGATAGTAACCTGAGTGAAAGACTAGGCTAGAAAAAAGACTCCCAGCAGAAAGAGGACCCACAGGACAGCTGTCTGCTTTGGCTTATGCCTTGAAAGAAGAAGAAAAGTCTTTCCTGAAAATCACCAGCTCAAGCCTGGCCAGATGTGGATTTGGGGTGCACAGTTACTCCATCTCTATATTCTGAAAGTAAATATGATGATGACATCCCTGGGGCACTTGGAAAAAGCAAATATCGTATTCTTTAGAAGGATGATTTTAGCCCCAAGGTTTCCCACAAACAATGCAAAGACCCAAAACTAGGTCTCATAATGGAGGAAACATACGAAGAATCACATTACTGTGGAGGTCAGAAAACCCCAAACACAGAAGGATTAGACTCCTAATAATTACAGATAATGTAATCAGAAATCATATTATAAAATAAAAATGTTAGGAATGTATAAAGACATAAAAGAATGAATAAAACCACTAGGAAGTTGTTAAACAATCATGCTATTTTTATCAATTTTAAAATGTCCCTACCAATACTGTAATATTTGTAAAATTAGGCAGTATCTTGCAACCAATGTGATAAGAAAGTATTACTTATGGTTCAGGAAGCATTGTTTCATTCGTAACACAAACTTATGGTGTGTCTTAAGTTTGGTGAGATACAGTATTCAGCCATAGGTAATGTATAATCCTATAAAAGCAGAAATCCTTAAAATGATTGGCAAATTTTGCTACATCAAAATATAAAGCTACTTTAGGTTAAAATTCAAAAGAAAAGCATTTCCAGAATATATGACCAATGAAGGGTTAATGTCCTCATATTACAAAACATGGGGGGCTGGGGATTTAGCTGAGCGGCAAAAAGCGCCTGCCTGGCAAGCGCAAGGTCGTGAGTTCGGTTCCTGGTACTGGAGAAAAACCAAAAGAGAAAAACCAAAAAAAAAAAAAAACAAAAAACAAAAAAACATGGACACCAGAGTAGTAGTGTGGAATGAGAAAATAAAATAGGAAATGCATAAATGAAGAAATCATTCAACTTCACTAATCAGTAATGGCAGAAATGCAAATTAAAATAATGAAAAAGTTGGACAATTTAATTTACAAAAAATCAATTAATATATTGATTATGCTGCAGAACTGGCACTAAGATACTACAGTGACAGCAGAACTCGGAAGGGCAATCTGGCAAAATAGATGAAAAGTCTTGACACTATATGGATGCCATCTGAGTGTTAAAATTCTAGGCATTTAAAGGAAAGCAAAACCATGATTTCTAGCACATATTTAACCCTTCTCAATGTGCTTACAATCATTCAAATAATTATAAGGCACATGTAACCACCATACAATACATTTATTTTTGTCTTTTTGAGTCAGGGTTTCACTATGCAGTTCCGGCTGGCCTTGAACTCTCTTTGTAGCCTAAAATGCCCTTGAACTTACAGCGATCCTCCTGCCTCAGCCTGCCAAGTGCTGGGATTACAGGCATGTACCACCACACCCAGCCTTATACAATAAACATTTAATGAACTACGTTTAATGACACAAAACACATATGACATAAATAAAGTCCCACTAGTACATGTGGACAAGACTAATATATTTATCAGTAAAAACATCACTACAAACATTTACACAACTGTCATTCTCAGTTATGTAAGAATATATAGGAAAAAAGGCAGGGTTTAATACCTGAAGATGTCTGTATTCACTCTGACCAAATACTGGAATTACCAGTGAACTTACTTCTTTGTATTTCCCCAAATAAATGATGGAACTTTTGTTTATAGGTTCAACTATTATCTTGAAAAAGGGCCAAAGAAATAGAAGGACTAAAAAGTGACCATTGGTCTTGGCAGCATGGAGGCGACTCTGCCACAGCGGGGGACATTGAAAGCAGACTGCGGGCAGGAGAGTCACTGGTGTGGGACTGGGAACTTCTGGGGGCAACTTTGTGAAGGTGGACTGAGAAGGGAAGAAAGGAGATGCACTGGGCAGGGAGAGAGGTGAAAGGGTCACGGTAGAGTAGCTTTGGTTTTTGATACTTCTTGATCAACACATGAGACCATCTATTTTTTTTAGGATGGAGGAGACCGGAGCATGTCGGTAGGCTAAGAGCAAGCAGCAGTAGAGAGGGTGAGGTCAAAGCCAGAGAAGAGAGAATTGCAAACAGCCAAGAAGAGCCTGAGAAACCATGAGACGGGATGAAGGACAGCGGGGCGCTGTGTGAGCAGAGAGGCCATGAGTTGGCTGGGGCTGGGTTAAGGTGGATGCGGGATTTATTCCAGAAGCTCCTGCCACCGGGACGTATGGCCTGCCCGGGCAGCTTGATCTAGAGCGAGTGTCTGCCTAGGGAGGCAGAGATGTCAGTATGGCAGTTCAGAAATAATCAGAGCCTCTGAAGGCAAGCGGAGGGGAGTGAAGGCCAAGAGTCAGGTGGGGAGCGAACGGGCGGGTCTCATGTCCTGCTCAGTAAGTACCAACCGAGGCAAAGCCAAGCGCAAGGGGCAGCCATGGGGCCAGTGAACCTGAACGAGCTGATCTGCAGCTGGGCTGTGCTGTGGAGCAGTCTGCCAGCGTGTGGTGCCTGGGGACAGCTGACACTTCAGCAGAAAGCTCAGAGGGCAGGGCCCCTTTGAGTTCCCTCCCCCGGGGCTCCCAGCTGCCTCCCCGGTTCCTGTCTGACTGTCCTCTCCTGCTCCACCCAGGACTTACAGAGAAGGTCCTTCCCGCCAGGTTGGAGGACTTCACCACCTCTGTCACGCTGACGTTCAGACACGTGTGAGCCATAACAGGAGCAGCAGCGGGGGGGCAGTCGGGGGACCCTGCAACCAAATGAGATGGGGGCTATGAAGGGGTTTCTGGGGGAGTAGGGGAGTCTAAGAGGACTACCATGAACCTGTCTTGTCCGCCACCCCTCCAGTTTAGCCCCTCTGCCCTCTGCTTAACCTACTTCCTGATGCTGCCTTGGTCCAGCCACGGTTCAGGCCCTCCCCCATCATCCATCTGCCTTCCCTGGAGGGCAAATGAAGATTCAGTATCCTCAGACCCAGCAGCTGTCACCACCCCAAAGCCCTGTGCCATGGCTTTTTTTATCCCCTACAGCCCCCCCTCAAAAGAAGAAAGTTCTGTTGAATTTCTCTGCTATTATTTCTGTGCTAGGAATGTAAGGACCACCTAGCTCAGGTGACATGTAGGTAGATGTGTCGGTGATTAGGAGGGCATTAGTACCAAGGTGGAGAGTGTTTTGACTTTTTGAATAGAGCACAATGTGTCAAAGCCATGCGTGTGTGATGGCTGTGAATCCCTCCCTCCCCGGCCTCCCCGACAACTAAAGAAGGTTGGTAGGTGTTTGTGCCTCTAAGGAGGGTTCTGGAATCCCCAGACCAGTCCTGATGGGGTTTGTGAAGGATATAGAAGGAAGATAGTTTTGACCATAAGAGCTAACATTTATAGTTTACTACATGCACATAAATTAATTACCTCTATTTTAGAAATTAAAAATAAGTAGAGTGGTCACAAGTAACTTGGCCAAGGTCACACAGAGGACAAGTGACAAAGCTGAAGTTTAAACTCTGCCCTTTTGGCCCCGCAACCTGTCCTCTTGACCCACTGCTTTCTGACCATCTGTAGGTCACGATCCATTGACAAAATTACATCATCTGTAGGTCAGGAGCCACTGTCTCCTTCACAGTGTCAAAGAACTACAAGTTAGAATGTCTTGCTGTGAGAGAGTTTCATATGTCATCCAAAAATTCAACTCATCTGTAAGTAATTTTATAAGGAAGTGACTTTATTTGAGTTTCTTCTTTGTGCCAGATGTCAAGATAATTGAGGAGCTTTGACGCCCTTAGAACACAAATGCAGCTGGGCACCGTGATGCATTCTGGTAACCCCAGCTGTTGGAGTGGCTCAGCCAGTCTGAGGCAAGCTCAGACAACTTAGAGAGACCCTAGCTCAGAAAAGACAAAAACAGAAAACACAAACACCAAAGAACACAAATGGATTACCAACAGACAGGGGTCCTATGGAATGCTAGCCAAACCACAGAGAATTGTAGAGACAGAGGCATTACTGGGCATTGAGTAGGAGAGGAGGGAGAGAGTCAGTGTCCTCATCAGCATTCTAGCCTATAATGCATATTTCTACTTGGTTTCTTCTGGAATATTCCAAGTTCATTCACCCATTCTTAAAAATAATTCTTTGGTGTAAAGTAGATATTCAACAAATGTTTATTGAATATCTACTATGTGCTAGGCACTGGGGACAGAATAGTGAAATATATATATATATATATATATATATCTTTCTTATCTGCTCAGAAATGATCTACAAGCTTCTGTGGGGCGATCCATGAGGTCCAGTCTGTTGAGAGCTGGCAGTTCTAGGTAGGCAGTGCAGGGCAGTGGTGAGGAACGTAGTGTGAAACGCCTACTCCCAGCTCTCCCTCCCTCATGGAAGTGACCTCGGGGAAGTTTTTTCCTTGCCTCAGTTTCCTCTCCAGTAAACTATTACTACTAATAATAGCAAGTCCATGGGGTTCACATGATCCAAGGAGTTCATAGGTTTAACACAGAGCGCTACCCAGCCCCTACCACATGCAAGCAATGGTTAGTAACGCACAATGCCATCCTCTTTTGTTTTGTTCTGCAACATAGTCTCACTATATGGTCGGGACCTTGAGCCACTGTGGAGCCCAGGCTGGCCTCAGACTCACTTCAATCCTCCTGCCTCAGCCTCCCAAGTGTTGGGGTTACAGGAGTGGGCCACTGGGTCTAATCAATCCTCTTTCATCCAGGAGACCAGTGATCTCACAGTGACAGCTAATATTTATAAACTACTACCTGCATATAAATGGATATTTTTGGGGGGGACCAGGAATCGAACTCAGGATCTTTCGCTTGCCAGGCAGGCACTTGTGCCACTGAGCTATATCCCTGGCCCAAACTGATATGTTTTGGAAAGGCATTGAAAATCCAAAATTTCCGCACAGAGCGCACCCAGCCCCTCAGGCCCAAGGCTGAGTAGCACTCCCCCGCACAACATCCCTCTACCTTGCAGCTGCAGAGGCCGAGTCCCAGGTCCTGAGCTAGAGCCTGGGTTGCTTGGCAGCCCCTGAGGCTGGGGACCACACATCAGCCAGGCCAGCGTGGGGTGGGCTCATGCAAGCCTGAGTCCTCTGACGGCTGGGATGAGGTGGCCTCCCTGCTGTGGCTCCCGCATGGCCTACCATTCAGCCCTCCCTGTCCTCTCCCCGGTGTCCCCCTTTTCATCCCTTCCCTGCTCTCTGCTCCAATCCGCAGCTCCTCACCTTCAGTGTCCCTGTCGGGAATGGCCTTCAGGACCAGCCCAGTGGCCCTCAGGGAAACAGTGACCTCTCGGGGCCGGTGGCTGAGCAGAGCCTAGGGAGGGGATGGAGGCACAGGTGAGGTCCTCGGGATGCGCTCTGCCCACCGTCTCGCTTTCTGCCCCTGCCCTGAGACTCTTGCCCGTGTCACTGCTTCCACTGAGGGGTCTGTGGAGGAGGCTTAAGAACATTCTAGCCCCAGAGGGCATGGCCACCCTCTGGTCCCAAGGAGCAAGACTCCAGTGAGATCAGTTCAGGCATCTGGCCAGCTAGTGGGGAAGACAGATTTCAGCGAGTGGCCAGCCAGTCCTCTTGTTCCTTCGCCTTGCCTGTGCATAAAGTCAGCCTTGACTCCCCATGCCCAGCCCTGCAAAACCTTCCAAAGGCTGAGGACCCAGGGGCAGCTTCACGAAAGGGGAAGCAGCTGTGTTTGGCTCGCTCCAGTGGTCCCATTCCCCGCCCCACACATGTCCCCGAGGCCAGCTCTATCAGCTGCACCTTTGGCCACCTCCTGGCTGTGCCCATGCTCACTGACCTTCTGGTAGCAGATGGAGAGCTCAGCACCTGGGCCCTCTGTGGCCCCCCGCCTTCTTGGTGAAGTGCCCTCTGAGGGAAGAGGAGAAGGGGCTTGAGGTGGGGGTCCCCAGCACTCCCGCCGACCTGCCTCACTCAGGCTGGAGCGGAGCCCATGGCCTGTCCTGGCAGGTCAGCCTGAGGGAGAGGCAGCACCCCTTGGGGACCAGGTGCCTTTCAGTCTGGGGGGGCTCCAACGGGCTGAGGGTGGCGGAGGTGTGGCGCAGCAGGCACGGACAATGGGGGCATCACCAGGTGAAAGGTTGGGGAGAAATTCCAGGTGAGCTTTGGGAAAAGGACAGCAGACACTCGCCTTTGGGGGATTTGGAGTCTTGGATCTTCACTTTCAGCTCAGTAAGGAAAATGTCCTCTGTAGAGTCCCGGCTCAGGTCGCTGAAGATCTGGAGAGAGCAGAGACGAAGAAAGGGAGGAGGTTTGGCTGAGGCTCCCTGGCGGGGCCAGAGGCACCTTCGGCCTTTGCTCTCCACAGCCCCAGGGCATCTGGGAGTGGGACGGTGTCCCCACCCCTCCTGCCAGTGCTGAACTCCGAGCTGCGTGAATTGACCCCTACAGTCGGAATCTTCACAGCAGTAGCAACAGGATATACAGCGCTGTGCCGTATAACCATAGCTCGGTCCACAGCAGAAAGCGCGTGTGACAGGGGTCTCCTAAGATTATAACGGGGCCGAAAATATTCCTCCCACCTAGTGATGTTACAGTCCCTGTAAGGCTGTAAGAAGCACATTACCCACGCTTGTGGTGACACTGGGGGACACAAACCCCTGCGGTGGCCCAGCTGTATAAAAGCAGAGTGCCAGCAGCTGGGTATATAATATATGATAATGCCTGACAATGTTGCCTGTTTATGCACTTACTGTGCTATATTTTCATCGTTATTTTAGAGTACTCTAGACATGTTTTTCAAAGAACCCAGTTTGCTGGAAAGAAGTGTGCTCTGTAAAGCCGGCAGCAGCCTCGGCCAGGTCATGGTCTCTGAGTGTCTTGATTGCATCAAAAGGCCAGGCCAAGTGGCTGACCTGCCCCATCTGGAGCTGTGTGACTACACACTGTGCCATGCTTCCCCGATGACAAAACCAGCTAACGGTGACCTTCTCGGAAGTGTCCCTGGCGTTAAGCAACGCAGAACTCTAAACAGCGGGAGAAAACTACTACTGAAAGCCCACTCTACCTAAAAACCACTACTGCGCGGGGGAAGGCAAGAGCAGGAGACGAGGTTCCCATCAGGGAGGGGTGGAGACATCGTCAGAGACCCTGGAAGGACAGAGAGGACCGGAGAGGACAGCCTGGCTCTTCAGCGTCACAGAGACGCCCCGGGGGTCGGGCTGCCGAGCTGACTAGACAGTGGGGAGACCCCAGGCAGAGGGCAGAGGGGAGAAGCATCGGCGTGGCTGGAGGTAGACCAGGGGAGCCCGGATGCCCGGAAGCGCGGCCGAGGTGTTTGGGAGCAGGGATGTGGAAAGACACAAGAAGGCGCTGGAGACCGAGAGCCTGGCGTGACGGTGAGGCCACGCTGCGTCCTGTGGATCAGGAGCAATATCACAGATGCCGATGCATTGCTGTGTGACCGTGACAGACCAAGACAGCTACACAATCACATGCAAAAGCAGACACAAAAGGGACCGTGAGCAGTTACTTGCATTTCCTGCCAGCGTGTAATCCGGAGCAGAATCCTGGTTTCCGTAGCCCTCCACTAAACCCCCAACCTGAGTCCTCTCCGCAGCTCCTGCGGAACGCCCCCAAGTACCGCCACATCGCTCCCCCTGGTGGGCATCCTCCGTCATTGCAGCAGGCCTGCAAGCCCAGCTGTTTGCACCTATGGGTGAGCTCTGGGGGGCTGTGGGCTCAAGGGCATTCACAGGTACCAGCTCTCTAATCTCAAGTGATTTGTGTTGGTGAGACGTTCACTCCCTTTGCCATTGGGAGAGTCTTTTAGTTTGTTTTGTGTTTTTTTATTTTGCATTTTGGAACTCAAGGAAAGGACTCCCTGGGGGCAAAATCAGGAAGGTGATGAAGAAGAGATCCAGCCCAGGATGCAGAGTGAACAACAAGAATTCAGTAAGACAAGGAACCCAACAGAGGTGGAGATGGCTTGAGGAATCAATTCCCAGGTGCATACAGAAATCTTGACGTAGGGGGAAGGGTACCTAGCATTCCCAAGAATGTGCATCGGGGTTCAGGCAAATATGAATCAGATTTTCAGCAATAGGGTGATCCCACATGAGTTCTGGGATATCATGTCTCTCTGAGTCTATATGGCAGTGGTTTGCTGTGGGATGATGAACGGTTTGGACCTTTAAAGGAACACAAGGGACTGGGACTTGGGAGGGCTCAGGAGTTCTTTTAGTCAAGATTTTCTTCTACATGGGCCCCTCTGGTAGGCACTCGATATATATAATTTCAAGAAATCACACAGACCTGCAGGTGGGTATTGTCAAAGGGGCCTGGAAACTCAGGCTCTGAGGTATTAAGCGATGTAGCCGGGGGCACAAGTAGCAAAGCTGGGTTCTAATCCAAGTTCTTCACTACTGTATCAGTATCTTCTGTGTCTGCCTCTTTGCCCTCGGCTTCCCCCGTGTCTTGACTATATTTTTCTACTCACTTAAATTGTCACCAGAGCTGTATGGCTGTTGAAGATTATTATTCCCACTTTAATTATGAGGAAAGCTACTTTTAGAAAGGTAGAGGTATCCATGATTCTCAGTCAGCAAGCAAAGGGACCGAGATGTATAACTGTCTGTGTTTTACTGCCATGTGTCTTGCTTGTAACTGTGTGTTCATCCCACCACTCAACTGCCCAGGACCACAGTGACACATTCTCTCTCACACACAGACACACAAACACACACTTTACTGTGTTAAGAGTAGGAGATTCAAGACAAGCAGAACATAGTTCCTTATTCCAAGGGATGCCCAGCTTGGATGGGGAACAGCACACATGCACAGGTGTACTACAGATGGATACATCACGTGACATGCTACAGCCAGGACCAGAACATTATGGGAGCACAGGGGAGAAGCAAGCAGAGGAGAAACTCCTCGTTTAGCTGGGGTGAGAGGAATGGAGCTCAGGGCAGTTTTATGTAGGATGTAGGTGAAGGAAAGATGTGAGGCAGGGGAGAGACAGCATCCTAGGGTTAGGGCACAGCACAAGCAAAGGCCCAGTGGTGAGCACCAGGCCAAGTGAAGAAAACCAGGACAGAAGGAAGGGGCTGGCTGGGCCTAGAAACAGTTCTGAAGGCAACAGAGAAGGACTGTCAGAAAGACCAAGGAGGACCAGGACAGAGTGGCACGAATGTCCAGGGAGGGCAGCCTCAAGCAGGTGGACATAGGTGTTTTTTTCCTTTGGTCACTGTGACACAGCCATAGCTTATTATAAATTTAATTGTATGGACAAAAGAAACAGGTGTAGTGGGAGAGGCCCAGCAAGATGGGACTGGAGATATTCTTGGGGTTGGTGACTTGGAGGTCATTGATAACAGGTTTAGAAGAACCATCCTGCCATAGTTTGAGGGTGACATAAAAACTGGAGACAGAGCTGGGTGTGGTGGCACACGCCTGTAATCCCAGCACTCGGGAAGATGAGGCAGGAGGATCACTGCGAGTCTGAGACCAGCCTGGGCTACAAAGTGAGTTCAAGACCAGCCTGAACTGCATAGCGAGACCCTGTCTCAAAAAGACCAAATAAATAAGTAAATAAATAAAGGAGAAAGAAAACAAATTCCATTGATAATTTAAAAAAAGATTGGAGACAGTGAGCCAGTCTAACAATCAGTAAGCCAAGTTAATATTTTAGGCAGGTAGCTAGACATTAGTGAGCCTGAGGGACAAAGGGAAGTGTCCAAAATAGTATGCATTGCCAGTTAACTAAAGAAACAAACACGGCCAGGTCGAAACCATTTTTAATCATTGGTTAGGTCTCAGACCCGAAGTGACCTCACAGAACCCAGTGACATTTTAAGTTTCAACTTTGTGCACGTTCCTTCTGATACCTGGCCAGCTGGCTGTCCATGTTCAGAACAAGGCGAACCGCATTCCTGGCTGCTATAGCCTTTAGCTCACCGATACCAGGAAAGGAAATGTTCTTTAAAGTCCCGCCTGCCTTGGGCTGGGACCCGGCTTAAACGAAGAATTTATCTTTCATCAATTTCTTTGTTAAGTTTCTTACATGTTTAAAGCCCCCCGAGGAAATGCTGACCACCTAACAAGGACAGAAAGACACGCGATTCCAAAGTAACTTCCAAGTAAAATGTTGATAGGCGTCGTAATTACCCTTGTTCCTCGAACCCCAGTATCTTTTGTGTGTGTAGTGCTTCCTACAGATGCTGAAGGTGTCATTCTCTCCATGTCTGTTTTACAAAAAATCCCACATACACTTCTGCCCAGTCTGCCTTGACTGAATTCTTTCATCAAGGGCACAAAGAACCAAGGACCAAGGAAGAGAAGGGCCAGTTCCTCGCTGTGTCAGGACCTGGCTTCTCGGTGACAACCCCATACCTCCAGTTTAGGAGCAACTTGTCCCAGTCTTTTCCTGAAAATTGGGAATGGCAAGCCCTCTTTCCACTGAGCTGCTAAGCTAGATAAATGTAGATCTGGAACTGCTGGTGGTTACCTTGTCACCAAGTGAGTGAGAAGGAGAGGGAGGGAGGGAAAGAGGGAGAGAGAGAGAGAAAGAGAGAAAGAGAGAAAGAGAGAGAGAGAGAGAGAGAGAGAGAGAGGGAAATAGGTTGGGGAGAGGGAAGAGGAGAGAGAAACTAAGTTCCCAAGTCCAACTTTCAAAGAGACTTTTGTTGTTGTTGTTGTTGTTTCCGGTACCAGGAATCGAACTCATGACCTCGCACTTGCCAGGCAGGTGCTGTGCCACTGAGCTAAATCCTCAGCCCCCGAGTCCAACTTTCAGAGGTCATATCAGCCTTGAGCTTTTCAGCAATGTCAGCCAATAATTTTTCTTTTCCTCTCAAATCAGTTTTTAAGATTTCTGTCATTTGTAACTGAAGGAGTCCTCCCCAAAACAAAACTGGAGGGGAAGAAGTGATGTGGGGAGAAGTTGGTCAAAGGGCCCAAAATTTCAACTCAACAGGAAGTTCAAGAGATCTATCCTATAACATGGTGACTACACCTAATAACAGTTTATGCTATTCCTAAAAATACCACAAGAAAGCTGATTTTCAGTGTTTTCACCATAACGAATAAATGTCTGAGGTAATGCGTATGTTAGTAAGTTGGACTTATCCATTCCATAGTGTATACATATTGCAAAAAATATTATATGCCACAAATACAAAACTTAATTTTTACGTACAAAGTGACAGTTTTCTTTAAGCTAAACCATATTTGTTCATAAGTGAAGAAACAAAATGTAAAGCAAAGTATTTTATAGTGCCTCTTTCCTGTTGCTGTGTATCACACACTGCTGTATATCACACACCTAATACTTCTCATTTTATGACCAAATTTATCCCTTAAGATGATGCATCTTAAGGTAGCTCAAATGTTTTATTTCTTTTAGAAACTCCTTTATTAGTACATGTTTTTGAATTAATAAGCATCCTTTGTTTTAGGCCACCTGATAAGCCTGTCTGGTTATGGGCCAGAAATATATTTGAATGTTTTGAATTAACACCTTAAAATATTCTGCAAACAAACCAGGGAATGGAATTTTGCAAATGAAGAGGTGAAAATGAGGAATTTGTTGAGCAAGTGCGATGGAGGGCAGCCAGACTCCTTCCATCCCTGAATCCTGTCCCGCAGTCACACTGCGTGCTGTGCCCCAGGACCCAGACCAGGGCCTCCTGAGGCAGGCGCCTTAAGGGTCTGAGCAGAACAATGCCAGGATGGAAGTGTTTGCTGACCACTGCCTGTGGTCTGCAGTAAGGGCCACTAAGAAAGCAATAGTGCTCAGGGGAGACCAGTCAATCTTAGAGCAGAGAAGGAAGAAGCCACGGGCTTCCTAAACAGGTCCTTTTTACCTATGTCAGCAGACAGGAAGTGGGTCGTATTGGGAACTAATGGAGCTAAATGCAAAATCTTCTGCTGCCATTTCATGCTAGCAAAGGTATGAAGCTTGGAAACAAAGCAGGTGATGAGATGGAGGCCTGGAAAAAGTCTGGTCCTGTCAAGCCCTGTTGCTATGCATGTCCTTGATGGGAGAATAAATGAAAATTTCATGGACTCCAAAGGTTTTGTTAGTGTTGGGTTACCAAGAATCAGTGAATGACAGGGAGGGATGGGTGAAAGCCCATGGCTGAGGAAGAAGGTCCAGGAGGAGGCAGTAGTGAGACAAGGGCATGGACAAAAGAGTTTGTCCTGAACCGGATGAAGCCCACGTCTGCGGGAGGACCTGTGACCATGGCAGTGAGCATAGATGCATTTTGGGTGTGAACAGAAGTTTGGGGAGGGGACCTAGTGGCTTCCAGGTGTCTTTTTCCAGTGGAGTGGGCAGAAAAGGCCTTTGCTAAAGGGAAGGCCTTGCGGGAAATGGCATAGACCGGAACAGCCATGGTCTCAGAGGAGGAGGGAGCTCCCCAGGGAGCTCAGCCCTGGGCCCTGCTGAGGATGGACACCAGGAAGGCGTCAAGCCATGGGGCCTTGGACTCATGTTCCCAGGCGGTGCTTGGAAGCCCAAGCTGAATAAAGTGTAGGGCTGGGGTAGTGCTGATCCGAGCTTGCTTCTGCTGGGAGGGGAGGCAGCAGGGAGGAACGTGAAGGGGCGGGGAGGACAGGGTAAGGGAGTAGCTCAGAAGAGAGCTGTGCAGTAAGAAATGGAGGGAGGCAGTGGGGGGTGGTGTGTGTGGGCAAATGTGGGGACCTGGAGGTCTCCGTGTGGTGGGAGAGAAAATAAGAGTCTCAGAGTGATTTGTGACGAGAGACTTCAAAACGCAGTATGGAACAGACCATCCCCAAGTCCCAATCTTTTGTTTGGATACGAGGTCTTAGAAGTTAATAATTATGTGATTCATTCAGAGACAAAGAATATAAACTTCACAAGCAGTAACATCTGGGTGTGTTTATGACTAGCAACTTGGTGGCCGGCGTTTTCCTAGACAAAAGTGTTCAGGTTGTGGGGTCCTGGGGTCCAGCAGGCTGGCATGGTATGGTCGGGCCCAGCGGGGAGGCTTACCTTGACCACGTAGATCTGGAAATAGATGGGCTGGGTGCCCATGCGGACATAGTAGGTGATGACATCGAGGATGAAGGGGTCCACAGTCCGGGCCGTGTCCAGACAGAGTGGCTGTGCAGGAGAACAGGGATATCTTCAGTCACCTCCAGGCTATTGTGAGAGGCACCATTTTCTTAATAAACTCCCAAGTCCCTACACACTCTCTGACGCATGAACCCAGCTGGTCCTTCACACTCCAAACCTTCCTGACCACTCGATTTCTACTCCTAATTAAAGTACACTGCTCCAGAGCTCCATCCCCCCAGAGAATCTGATGCATTTCAATTCCACAAAGACGTATTGAGCATCTGTATGTCTAAGGCACAGCATGCTGGGTTTGGATTGGCCACTTGCTAACCAGGAAACCTGAGGCAAAGTACCCAATGCTTTGAGGCCTGAGTCTCCTGTAGAAGAAAAATAAGAGGGGGAACCATAAAATCGGACATCTTTCTCAGCTTTGGTAGTCTCTGGCTCTATCAGTGAACCAATTAGTATGCTGAATATGTGGTGTCCCAGCTAGCTGGGAGTTTGAAGCAGGAGGATCTCGAGCTTCAGACCAGTCTGGTCAACATGATGAGATCTGGTCTCAAAATGAATAAATAAGTAAACAAATAAATAAACAAACTAATTAGTGTTTGCATGTTATTGGGAGTGGACTTAGTGCCTTGTCCTCCTTGCTGTTCTCAGTCCGACATGATCATAAGGCATAACAATTGGTATTTTCAGGCAAATAGAACAGAACATCTACGTAGATGTGATACAGGTTCCTGTCTTCTCTGAAATGCCTTGGACTGGAAGTGTTTCTGATTCTGATTTTTTTTTTTTTTTTTTGGTCTTTTTGAGACAGGGTCTCACTATGCAGTTCAGCTGGTCTTGAAGTCATGTTGTAGCCCAGGCTGGCCTTGAACTTGCAGTGTTGGGATTACAGGTGTGTGCCACCATACCCAGCTCTGATTTTTTAAAAAGTTTGAAAAATATGTTCATTGATAACAAAGTTTATTGGGCCCAAGTGTAAACATGAAATTCATTTCTTTTATATTCACCCGTACACATAGCCTACAGGAAATTTTATACAATATTTTAAGTGCACCTGTGTTTTGACTGTGACCCATCATATGATGTCAGGGGTGGGACTTTCTACTTGTGACATCATGTAGGGACTCAAAAGCTTTAGATTACAGAGCATTTTAGATTTTAGATTTTCAGACTAAAGACACTCTATCTGTAGTATTAGGCCCAGACAGAAGCTCAGATTGTATATCAAGTGGGGATTCCAGTACAGTGACAAGTTTTTGAAAAAAATGAGCAAAAGATGGTAAATTTTATGTTATATGGAGTTTTTAAATCATAGTTTTATTTATTTTTTTTTGGTACCAGGAATTGAACTCAGGACCTTGCCCTTGTCAGGCAGGTGCTTGTGCTGCTGAGCTATATCCCTGGCCTTATAAATTGATTTTGGCGTTTTTTTTTTTTGGTACCAGGAATCAAACTCATGAGCTCAGGCTTAGCCAGGCATGTGCTTATGCTGCTGAGCTACATCCCCAGCCCTAAATCACAGTTTTAAAACACCAAAATAAATAAATATGTACAAACCAATAGCTTCCTTTTTCATTGGCAGTAAGTTCTACCCTTAGATCTATACCCAGAGAGAGACCATTCACAACACCAAGAAGCACTATTAAATATGAGAAATAATTTAGCAAGAAAGGGGCAAAATATGTGATGAAACAGTACAATTACACAAGGAGACTTTCATAAATGAAGAGCTGTTTTATATTTCCAGAGAGGGAAAGTTAACATGCTAAAGATGCTAATTCTTTTCTGAAATCAGTCAGAATCCCAATACAACTAAAAAATAATATAAAAGCAAAACTGAAAATGCAATTCTAAAGTTTATCAGGAAAGACAAATAAGCATAATCTAAAAAATTATTTTAAAAAAGAGTCATGGTGTAGGTTTATCCTGCCAGATATTAAAACATAAAAAATACCAATTTATACAAAACTTCATAGATGAATGAAAGACAATAAGTACCCAGAAATAAACTCAAGAATGTGTAAAGATTTAATAAACGATAACAGTGGCATATCAAGTGGATGAGGTAAGGTGGTTTATGCAATAAATAGCTTGAGGACAACTGGTAAACCTTTGGAAAAAACAAAACTCCACACTTCACATGACACAATAAAATTAATTACAGATGAGCTAATTATGTAAATATTAAAATTGAGGCACTGAAAGTGTTTGCATAAATTACCAATGAATATTTACTCCTGGCATGGTGCAAGCTTTTCAAACCTGACTCCATAAAGAATAAAAGTGCTTTGCCTGACTATACAAAAACACTAAAGTCTTTAAGTAAAAAAACTGTTAGGTAAATTACAAAGTGGGGGGAAAATAAAGGTCTGGAACATCTATGACAGTAAAAAGGGTATAATTCTGAATATATTAAGACCTTTCCAAGTCAGTTACTTAGAGCAAGTCATCAGTTCTAATCTGTAGAATGGGGTGATGGCAGGAGCAGCACCCAGCAGTGAGATAACCTACCTGGTTGGGCTGCTGTGAGCATTAAATGAGCAATTCTCTCAGTGTGAGCACTCGGTCCAGTTCCTGGCACATAGTAAGTGCTCAGGAAACACAGAGAAAGGGCCCTAGGAAGCCCACAGAAGAAGGACTGCAATGCGCCTAGACACTGACAAAAGTGTTTTACTTTGCCTTTTCCAAGGAGGAGCCGGGTGAGGGTTCCCAGTGAACCCAAACCACAGGCTCCTCTTCTGCCTTACTCCCTTCCTGCCTCATCTTACCTCGAAGCCCTCTTGGAGCTGACTCTTGGGGTCCAGTTTCTAAGCAGTTTCTAACAAGAACCTCCTCCTGCCCCTGCCCCACTTGGATCCTTCCTCTGCCACCTTCTAGCCGCTCTCCCCTCCTTCCCTCGCAGCCTGGCCGCCCCTACCATTTCAGCCAGTTTGTGGATGGCGGAACACAGGGTGTTGACGGTACTCTCGTACCAAGGATCTGCGCGGCCCAGGAACGTGGCCAGCTCTCCCAGCTCAGGTGTCCTGGACCCTGTGGGCTCCTGGGGATAAAGAGACGGGGCAGACATGTGAGGCCCTTCCCGGTCAGGCACCCCCAGGTACCATGGCCTGTGCTTCGTGAGCGTGATCAGATCATCTCATTTCTCGGGGCCTCGGTTTCTGCACCATGTGAAGACAAATGAGTTCTGTTTCATAAATGTAGGTGAAGCTGGAGGAGGCTTTGCCCAGGGCTGCCCTCTAGGGACGCTGAAATATGATCGGCAGCCTCTGTAGGGGAGACAAGTATCCTTTGATTTCACTGCTGCTAGCAGGAACGAAAGTGTGCAGCAGAGAGTGGAACCTGAAGTGTGGCTCCATCTCCCCACCTAATTAATGAGCTTCTGCTGCCTGAAACCTCCTTTTCTGGGATCTCAGGTATGGGGAGGCGGGTATATGTGTGTGTGTGTGGGGGGGGAGTGCCAGAAAGCACTAGCGACCATGTAGAGAAGAAATTTGCAACTAATTTCATTACAAAAACAAAGCAGAGGCCAGCAATGGGAAGGCAGCCCCTGTGAGAGAAACTGACTGTCACATATAGACTCCTGAGCATCACTGGTGGCTTCTAAATCAGGAGACTCTTGAGGTCTCTCCTAGTACCGTATTGTAAGGATGGCGCTTCTGCTCCCTGAGCCAAGGGGTACCAGGCTGCAGGTGTGTCCCTGCCTGGCATGCCCCTTGTCTGCTAGGACCCCTCTCCTGCACCCCCTTCCCCACGGTCCCCTGTCCCTTCCCTGTCCAGTCACCTGGGGTGCCAGCACTGGGATGTAGTAGAGTTGCAGGCTGAGTCTGGGGGTGAGGCAGAACTTCTGGGTCTCCCGTTTCCTGGCAAAGGCAGCAAAGCACACTGGGTAAGAGCAGGTGTTGGATGTCAAACAGGCTCTAGTACTTGTCAGCCCTTGACATTTGACAACCTGCGTCATCTCTCAGAACTTCTGTTTGCTTGACTATGAGATAGGTACATCGTGACTCTGTCGGAGTGGTGATGAGGAGTCACTGGGCACAGCGCTCTGTGGTGGCCACTCGCCTGGTGGGCACACTGCGCGGTGTTCTTTCCTAGGCCTACTCTGGCCTCCCCTCCTGAACCTCTGTTGCCCCTTTCTGATCCTTCACCAGCCCCCACCAGCCCCCCTGACCAACCCCAGTCCCCACCAGCCTGCTCAGGGCCCTACCTGAGTCTGTGGTAGGCCTGGGCCAGGCGGCCTAGCATTCTGTCATCCCCGAGCACCAGCACCCGGGCCGTGTGCACCCGGGACACGCCAGGCAGCAGCTCTCCATCCCCGCTGGGCCTGCCCGTCCTCCGGTGGAGCCCCGGGGGCCCATCCCAGCTGCCAGGCATGGAGAAATCTGGGGGCCACACACGCTTCTTGATTCCCCCTTTGCGCTGCAGCCCAGCCCGCTCCATCTCAGGGCTGCTGGGGTTAAGGAGTTCGTCGGCCCCCAAAGGAAGGTCCCGCTCGATACCACTGTCTGTGGACAGCATGGACACACGGACCAAGTCCCGGTCTGGCCCGAGGCCCTGCAGATCCAAGGCCTCCAAGTCAGCACTGAGACGTAGCTGGGACTGCGGGCACAGGAAGAGCACCAGCTCCTTCCCTGGGACAGAAGAATAGGGAGCCATCAGGGTGGAAGGGCCTGGGCTCCATGAGTGTCAGACACCTTTCACCTGAACGGAAGCCTGCACATGCTTGCCTCCTCTTGTTAGGAAGTATATTAGTGGCCACAAGGACCCAGCACTAAAGAAACCCACTTAATCAGCACCTCTGCCTTTGACTGACCCCGGAGCCTCCCACCCTCTCACTCTGCATCTCCCTCCGGAGCACAGACACCAGATGTTACACTCTGTGCAAGACCCCAGGCTTTTCTAATCACCTGCGTTTTTTCACACATGGAAACTGAGGTCCAGAGGGAGAACTGAGTCCATCTACTGTGACCATGTACAAAAGGTAGGGCTAGGACTTGAGCCCAGTTCCGTGACCCAGCACTTCCCACCGTGGCCTCTGTTCCCCCCCTGCTTCTTCCTTTAGAAGAAGCCACAGGAGAGAAAGGACGGGGACAGGGGCAGGACCCCAAAGTGGAGGGGATGTGTCAGACTACTGGGTCTCTCTGGAAGGTCTCTCCCCGCTCTGGGACCCCTGATGTTTGGTGCTTTCCTCCCTCTTGGGGACGATGTTGGTATCATCTGGGCCTGCGGCATGATCTGGCCGCACGAGACCAGTGGTCTGAGCTATTCCAACAGAAGGAACAAACACATGCACTTTAACACAGGGAAGATAGCAAACACTGACAGCCCCACAGACACATGGGTACACACACACATACACATGCACACAGGGACACACACACACACACACAGGGACACACACACATACGCACACACACAGGGACAAACACACACAAGGACACACACACATGAACACACACACATGAACACACACACAGACATACACTGAGGTTTCCAGCCTGCTGGCCTGGGAGGTCAGAGGCAAGGGCACGTACAGAGCTGCTCCTGGTCCGTCCACAGGTGGAAGGTGATGTAGGGACTGGGCAGGGGGATGCTTGGTGGCCGGTCCTGGTCACCTGAAGAAAGGAGCAGGCTATGGGGACCGAGAGAGGGGCATTGAGGGCAATTCCTCTGCCCTCTCCCTTCCCCATGTAGCTCCTGTGTAGGGGTTCAGAGCATGGCTGGAACACTGTCCCGCCGCTCTGGACTTGGAGAGTCTGCTTTTGCTGCTGCCACCTCCCAGCCCGAGGAGGCGCGGGGTTCCTTATTTCCTGCACACCTCCCAGCTCAGCCCCGGGGTCCTTTGCAAATCAGCTCAGTCTTTTCCAGCCCTTCACCTCCTGTGACCCTGCCCTGTTGCCGGCGCTGTATCCCACCGCGCTGATTTTCCAGGTGTTCTGTAAACACCCCACCCACAGCCAGATGAAACAGAAAAGACCTGCTTGTCTCAGGCCCCTTGTGGTCATTGTATGCTTCTGCTGCACGCTGCAGAGCCCTGGCCGCATTGGCTAAGTGCAGATGGCAGCAGGAAGCCTGGGTGACCCAGGGAGACACCAGCGCCAAGCCCTCCCGCTGCGCCTCCTTTTAGAAGTTTCCTAAGCGCGCCAGTGGCCCATGGTGGTCACTCTCTCCAGCCGGAACTTGCAAGTCTGTACATTGGACACACCTAACCTGTGTCCTCAGGGTGCGGCTCTCAGATTCTGTCTCGCTCCTATACATCAGAATCATCCTATGACTAGGAAACGTGTGTCTGGGGATACCTGTCTGGGCTCTTTTGGATTTCCTTGCCCACACAGGGCTTCCTGCCAGCAGAGTATGGCTTCTTCTGTAAATGTGCAAATAGGAAGGGAGATGCGGAACAGAAGCCCGTGACACCGCATATAAATGATGGCTCATTTACTACCTTTGATCCCCTCCAGCGGGTCTTCTGGTCATTGATCCCTTGGCTACTGTGGCAGAGTGGTGAAGCCCTTCTACCTGGATTTGAGCTTGGCTCCGCTCCTCACTAGCGGAGTGATTGTAGGCAAGGTTTGTAACTTCTTTCTACCTCAGTTTCTTCCTCCGTGAAACGGAGTGGTAATAGTTTTAATCTTGTAATTTTACTCTGAAGATGATCTCATTTAATATGTGTAATTTAAAATATGTGGAAAGTGCTGAGGGTCGTTACTGGGGAGGAGCAGGTGCTCCACAGGTGTAGGCTATCCTGACGTTAGCCACCTTCTCAGCCTCTGGCTGAGTCGCAGGCTCCAGGCGGATACAACGCTGCTGTCTGGGGCGTCTGGGGCCTCCTGCGGCCCGCTGCCCCGCCCACCTCGGCCCGGCCACCCGCCGCTTACTGCCGCAGCGCCCCCGCGCGGCCGCCGCCGGCCCCAGCAGCGAGCAGTAAATCTCCTCCAGCCTCTCCAGGTGTTCGGCGCGGCTCGGGCTGGCCTCGCCTGCCATCTGCTCCACCGCAGTCACCACGGAGTGGAAGTAGTGCTCCAGGACGCGGCGGGAGCTGGCCTGCGGGGCGGGACGGCACAGCCTGAGTCCCGGCCCAGCGCCCCGCCCACCCTGCCCCCGAGCCACGCCTCCTCTCTGCCCCAGCAGGCCCAAGGCTTCGAACCCCACTTGCCAAGCCTGCACCTGCCCTGCCACAGCTATCGTCCCATGCAGCCTGCAACTGGGGGTCCCTGGGCCCCTCACCCGCTGCTAGGAAGGGGTGGCCTGCAATGGTTTAAGGAGGGACCTAGCAGTAAAAGGGAGGACCGGCCAAAGCAATGATCCAAGATGTAAGATTCAGACTGGAGAATTTCAGATGGAACACAGCAAGAAGAACAATCATCCAATGCATCTTAGTGGGCAAAGCAGGGTCTGAGTCAGGGGCTCAGCCGGGGGGCTAACAGGGTCCCGACTTGCAGAACACTCCCGGAACTGCACCTGCTTACTGAGTGCCCCGCCCTTGCTGTAGCCGCAGCCCCGCTGCTGAGGTCGCAGCTCCCGACCTCGGCCAGCATCCAACCCAGCCGTCCTTATAGTACGCTGATAGTTCACTTGTAGTGTTTGTTTACGGGGAGCGGGGAGGTGACACGAGACAGAAGCAGGAAGAGCACCGTGAGTGCCTGGCGGGGGTTGCAGGGCCCGGGGCTGAGCTACCTGCAGCTTCCTGTGCAGAGCTCCGGGCTGGCAGGCCTCCCCCAGAGCTGCCTGCAGGGCGTGGGAGACCACGTGGCGCATGCAGGCCTCAGGTGTCTGCTGCTCCTGGGCAGCCTCGATCTCCAGCAGCAGGGCACTGCACACCGAGGCAGACACCAGCTCGGGATCCACGAAGAGGAACACTCTGTGGGTGGGAGAAGGGGGAGGTGGGCGATAGGGAGCAGGGGGGACTGCGGCAGATAGGAGCATGCGCAGTCGTTCTAGAGGGCGGTGCTAGTCCCTTCTGCTAAAGTCCACTGTCTTCACACAGCAAAGCCGGCCCGGTCCCGTGTCTAGGGGAGTTCCAACCTACATCCTTCTCCCTCCCTCAGCATCCTTGTCCAGTGGCCCTGTCACCCCCAGGGGGACCCTAAATCTATCCTGCCAGAAACTGAGCTCCCAGTGATGAGTGAAACCCACCTTCTTTCAGCACCCCTGCCACACCAGAAACCAACCTCACCCACCCCCGCTCCTCAGTCAGCTGTGTCACCCCCACCTCTCCAGCACTAGTTCCTCAGGATCCCCTTCAAACCTCCCTGCACCCTTCCGAAATACAGCTCCCCGAGTCTCAACTCAGGCTGTGTCTCTCGGGCACAAGTCAGAGGAGATGACTGAGAAAGGACGGCAGCTCCATCACCCATCTCTCCAACACCAGCAACGGGCCTTCTTCTATTCCCCGCTGCTTCTAACTTATCCAGACGGCCGACATACACAGATGAAAGCCCTGAGACTTCGTTGTGTGGCTGTGGCCTCAGACCCCCATACTGTGGATATTCTGAGCCACCTATGACCACCTGGTATGATGTATCCATCTCAAGGGCAGGATGGAGGTATAAGAATAGTAGTCCTAAGTCCCAGTGTTATGGAGGGTTGCTGTTAGTTCAAGGGCAGCCTGGACTACTACATAGTGAGAACTTGTCCCAAAAAAACAAAAACAAAGAACTGCGGAGCTGCACTGGAGCTGTGCTCTGAGAGCAGCCTGTCCTTCCAGTGGCCTCTGGATAAAGGTGTGGCCTGATCCCCCTAGAACTGCACGTTCACTCCATTGCTGGTCAGGTACTGTGGCTGGGAAGCTCTACTCCAGCTCTTCTCAGTCCAGCCTCCTCTTTTGTCCTCCTGCCAGTGAGTAGTCACACAGCCTCCAACACCTCTGGGGGTGAAGGCAGCAAGCGTCCCAGGGCTACTCACCTCTCCTGGTAGGGATACAGTTCGCTCATCAAGTTCTGTTCTGCAAGGACCGTCCTCTGGTACAGCGTTCCTGCAAAGCAGTCCATGTCAGCCAACAAGCCTCGCTCTCTGCCTCCCTTTCTCCACCTGCCCATGGAAGGTGCCAAGGAGCTCGCTGGCATCCAGAGAAGAGAGTCAGACCTTGGGTGGTGCTGAGAGACCAGGAAGCCCTGCAGCTCTCACCTGGCACCGCTATCTCCGTTTTCAGCCTTATGGCGCAGTCCAAAGCGACGGTGCAGTAGGGGGTGGGCAGGGTCAGTAACCTGGTGCAGAAGGCATAGGTTTTACGGTAGAGCTCTTCCGTGATGCCTGTGGCCTGGGTGAGAGGCAGAAGTTGGGGCACACAGAGCCCTAGTTAGGAAGGGTCCTGGGTGGGTTGGAGGTGGGTAAGAGAGGAGGAAGACTGGGCCTGACAGACGCACTTGGCTCGTGGTTCTCTTCCACATTTGCACCTTCCAGCTCCTTCCCCTGTGCCCTTGGACACCCTACTCCAGCTCATCAAGATAGAAACTTGTCACATCGAATCCCGCCACCCAGTCAACTCCCCTCCCAGCACTTCTGGCTCAGTCTGCAGCGCATCCCTGTGGTTCTCCGGGATGAGAGCTGTGGGGCTGCTGCTGGTGTCACTGCGCCTCACTGGCAGAAAATACTCCACAGCAGCACAGAGGCGCCCTTGCTCCCCTTCTTCCTCTTCATCACTGTGCCCTTGGCCTTCACTGGAGCCAAGACCTGTGCGCATTGTGGATGCTGCAGCAGCCCCTAGCTTGGCTTCCTGCTCCCCAGCTTCCTCACTGCTCACCCCCCTCTCCTGAGACTGCCCATGGCTCCCCATTACTTCCGCCCAGACATTAACAGATGCTTTTCATCGTGTCTCCTCCCCATGCAGTGCTCACTGCTGTTCTCACATGAAAGCCCACAGACCTCGTCAGGCCTTCGGGCTCCCCACGCCTGCTCCAACTGCCTCTCCTCCCCACCGCCCCTCCAACGTTATCTCTGAGTAGGAGGGGAAGAGGCGAGCTGGTGTTTATACATCACTGTGCAGCAGGCGGCCCCAGACTTTTTCTAGGCTGCCCTGGTGGAGAAGAGGTGTCCGCTAAGGGAAGAGATCGGCAGGTTACAACAATCACCCTGACCCCCAGGCTCCGGCTCACCTTAGTGAGCGTGTACATCAGGGTGTGCAGCAGGGGAATGATCACGTGCCAGAGGTCCTCGCTCTCTGCCTGGAAAACAGGGCGATCCCTGACACTGATGTAGTTGGGCCAGGGCGGGGGTGAGGGGGTCCCCAGTCATCCTAAAAGGAGATGGTTAGGGTCGGGGCTGGGCGGAGAGGGGGCTGTGGGCAGCACTCCATTCTGCCAAGGGCTCCAGTCTGCCCTGGACAGAGCAGGAATGTGGGGAGTAGAAGTGTAGGAGCCCCTCTGAGTGTGTAGGGGGTTGCAGGAAACAGTGGGGGAAGGGTGACCTTGACTCAGGGCAGGAGCTAAAAGAAAAGTGACAAGCGAGTCCCCAACTTGGAGCTTTCCTTAAGCGCAGTGATTCCCAGTCACAGAAGGTAAAGTGGTCTGGAGGGTAACTTTCGGTGCTACAAGGATAGCTTTGAAAAACTGAAATGGCTATAGACATGTTTAGAGGTGCTTTCTATTTCTGATGAGTAACATGGGTTTTCCATTAATGACCATGTTATGGAGTTTCTTTTCTTTCCTTCTTTTCTTTTCTTTCTTTCTTTTTTTTGGTCTTTTAGAGACAAGGCCTCACTATGTAGTTCAGGCTGGCCTTGAGCTCACTTTGTAGCCCAGGCTGGCCTCATTTCTTTTTGAAATATATTAACTCAAGAGGTGGGAGTTGATGCAAAGAAAATATCACCTAGGTAAAGGTCTGGGAGGGAGATGCGTATGACAGAAATCATGCAGATGACCCACCGATGACAGAGTTTCCGGGACAGAGCCCTCAGCCCAGTGAGCGCCTTATCTGCTCATCGCCACCCTCCCCAGAGCTGGAACACCCACCTTCTCCAGCTCTCGGAGCAGAATTCGGACCAGCGCTGGGTTCCTCCCGGGATCTCGCTCTACCTTCTTGTGCAGGGACCATCTCCACATGCCTGACCAGGAGAAAGGGCAGCCCCGTGGGACCAGGCATGGGGGGGTCTTAGAGGAGAGGCCATTGGGTAGGACCCCAAGCCTGGGCCCAAGACCATGACTGTCCAGCCATGTCTGACGCCGTGGTCAGCACTGGGCTCCAGTGGGCTCTTCTCCAGGGAAAGCATTCTGATCCTCGGCCCTTTGTTTACAGTGGGTCCCCAAGGCAGAAAGAAGGGGAGGGAGACGCTAGTGGGGACAGGTGTGTGCCTGAGGACCACAGAGCAGCGATGGTTGCAGATGTTAGCCGGCCTCCCTCTGGCAGTTCTGCAGGCCGCAGAGGACTTCTGTTTGGCACGTGGAGCTGGGGAGGGTGATTGAGAAAGGTGCCAAGTCCCCAGTGTCTCTGCCACGGCTGCTGGGAAGATTAAACCAGGGAGCCAAAAGTACTTCCTGGCTTCCCAGGCTTAGGGATTTCCTCCAGGAAGAGGGCTGGCCTGGAAGGCTCTCACCCATGCACACCAGGCTGGGCCCTTTCCTATGTGAGTGGACAGGACTGGAAGGGTGAGGTAGAGGGCCAGAGGGAGTAGTTGCCACCTGCCTGCCAACACTTACCCTGGTTGCTCTGCAGGGCTGGGGCCTGAGCACTAAGCTCCCGGAGCACAGCTTGCACGCTCCTCTGGAGGTCCATTTCTGCATCTGGAGGGAGAACAAGAGGGATTGGAGGCTCATCTAGCTCACCTGGCCTCACTCCTACCAACCACCATTCCCCCGAGAATGCTTTTAGTGCTTCTATGAACCTCAAGGTACGTCCCAAGGTAACCAACCTAGAGCTGGCAGCCAGCACACTAACCAGGACTGAAGACAGTATTTTCATAGAACATTTTCATGTATTCTTTGTAAAACTAGCATTTCCTAAAGTGGAGGGTGTATGGAAGTGTCACCCTCCTGCAAGGTCCCAAAATGTTAAATAGAAAATTCCAGGAGTAAATAATTCATAGGTTTTAAATTTCTTGTCGTTCTAAGTAGCATAATAAAACCCCACACTGTCCTGCTCTGTCCTGCCTGGAACATGAATCATCCCTTTGTCCAGCGTATCCATACTGTATATATTACCTACCTGTTAGTCACTTAGTAACAGTCTCAGTTGTCACATCAACTATTACAGTATAGCAGTGCTTGTGTTTAAGTAATCCTTATTTTATATAATAGTGGCCCCAAAGCACTAGATCTACCAGGGCATAAAGATGGACAGATTAACCCTGGTTCTATGTGGCAAAACTACAGTGCATATAGGAAAAGCTGTAGGATATGTACAAACAAATATAGTATGTCTGTAAGTGTTCACCACTCTCTGTGGCTTTAAGAATCCATCTACTCCCCATGGATGATGGGAGACTGCTGTATATAAAGTGATACACAAGACAATGTTAGGTGACACACAAACTATCCTAAAATTTGAATAGTTATGTGTTCATTTTAATATATATTTGGGAAAATATGTATAACTATGTTATGGTTTGTGTTTAGATGTCCCTCCCCCCACAGTCTCATGCGGTTGTAGGTGGGACTTTTTTTGAGGTGGCTGGATCTAGAGTGTGTGATGCTGGAACTGATTCATGATACAATGCCAGGATCAAGGACACTAAGATTAAGGGTGTGAGTTCCTGTTGTTTTGCTACCTTCTGCTCAACATGAACTGTGTGTCCTCTGTGATCTGCCTTGGAGCCAGCCGATGATGGACTGAAACCTTTACAAACTGTGAGCTAAGTAAGCCTTTCCTCCCTGAACTTGTGGGTGTTGGGTATTTTGTCTCAGCGACAAGAATACCTAACTAAGACAACTAGTTCCTCAATCTATACATGAAACTAAAATTGAGCCTATTTAATGAAACAGTCTGACCTGCTTCCAGTGAGAACCTTCTTGGGTCAGTTTAACAAGAACCCCTCCCCCTGTTGTTACCTCTTAGGAAGTTCCCAGCCACTGATGCCTCACTCTGCTCAGGGCTTTATGTCCTCAGCTGTCTTTTTCTCACTCATGGAGTTACACTGGCTTTCTTCCCCCTGCTGGGGTAGCCTTAAATAAAGTCCTTCTTGCCATTTTGACAGGGATGGGATGATCTTTTCCTTAACAGTGATGTGGTCATAGGGCAAAACACAAAGGCGGTGCAAGAATGAGCAACTGATGTTTGGAAAATGAACCACGGCGAAGATCTCTCGCCTCCGGGAGTTTAGTAGACACTGAACTCTGCTCCTGCGCTGTGACATCCGTGTCTGTGTGAGGCCAGCCTTACCAGCAGCACAGCACTGTGGACTCCGAGGTGTCCCCAAGAGACGTCTGTTCTGACGGCTAACTTAGGTCAGAGGTTCCCTGGCCACACTGCTGCATTTCTGGGCTTCCCATCAGGCGAAGACATTCCCCTCCAGCCCTGCTTCCCTTTCTCCTGCGCTGGGGTCCAGTTTGCATCCCTGCCAGGCAGCTCTCCCTCCCATCTCTCTCCCTGATGTCTGTACTACAGGTGTTTCCTAGAGTAAATCCTTGTACATCTGATCTTGTCCTGGTGGCTGCTTCTTGGAGAATGTAGAGTAAGACATGAAATACTGGAAACACTCCGCACACGGTACATTCCTTTTTGCAATGAGCTCCAACCAAGAGCTTGTCTCTACAGGCAAGTGTACAGTCTCCTGTCACCAGACAATCCACATGCCTGGGCTTCCCTTTTTGACTTGGCTGCCAGGAAACTTACAGCCAGACTGAACCCTAACCTCAAAAATCAGCTCATTTCAAAGGATAGAAAACTCTTGGCTCCAGCTTTGTGTTCAATTTACTATATCACTTAAATGCCTAAGATTCTTTTGGAAGGAAGTAGGATAGAAGCTACAGATTTCAAAATCATCAGGTTACAGTCCAAGAGATAAACTTTGTTTAGGCCCAGGCTCCCTGAGCCCATGGGCTCACCAAGTAGTCCTGTCATGGCTCTGGGGTGAGCTGGTGCAAAGTCTCTTGGGCCCAATCTCTAAAGCCCCACTTTCCTCCCGGCTCTCATTCGCCCTCTCTGAGGCACTTGTCACGGCCAGGGCATGATCCTGAGTCTTCTCTAGGCTGAGACTGGGCAGGGTGCTACAGCCACATCTGCCCAGCTGGCCACTCTACTGGGGGAGGCAGTATCTCCTCAAATTGGCGAAGATATCATTCAGCCTGGCATGGAGGCTGATGACAACCTGTCTTCCCATTTATCCATTTCCATCTTGCATAAAGATTTAAAGAGCTAATGCAGGCTGAATTATTTAGAAATTAATTGGTGTCATATCTTTTTCTTCTCTCTTGCTCCCTTCTTTCTCTCTTCCTGTTTTCCTTCCCTTCCCCTCCTTCCCTCCCTCCTTTCCTTCCTTCCTCCCATTTTTCTTCTCCCTTTCCTTCTGTCACTGTGGACTACACCGAAAGATGTAAAACTGCAACAACTGATTTCCTCTCTTCTTCTTCATTAAAAGGGCAGCCAAGCCTTTGTCTTCTGAGTCCCTTGTTCCCCTGCTTTGCAAGGGGAATTAGGTTCTTGTGTTTCAGAGAAAAATGGAGAGGTTGCCATTAGCCCTGGGAGACAATGTAAACCAAGTTTGTTTTTGAAAGTCTGGGCAGCTGGAACAAACTCTCCATTTTTGGTGCACATCTGGCTTGCGAACATGTTTTGTTTGGGCTGGGTAGTATCTTTAAAAATGGCTTAGCTGCCAATACTTGTGAATCAGGAGATTTGGCACTAAAGTTTGGGTGTCTGGCATCTCTTGAAAATCTGAGAATCTGTTGACACTAGGGAAGCATGGGAGTGTCTGACCTGGGATAATCAGCAGGGCCTGGGGAGAAGCTGCCCCTCTGAGACAAGCAGTTTCTCCAGTTCTTCCCAGTGCTTGTTCTCTTGGGTTCACTCACTCACACCCTCTAGCTGGCTCTTGGAGGCATGTGAGTTCAAGTTCCCCAGCTGGCTAATTAAATCATTCTGCTGGGTTGTCCAAAAAGGGTGAGAACGAGGCTGACGCTTTTAGTTAAAGAGTGGGAGGTTAGATTCTTTAAGACTGTGAGGGCACAGGGTTGCAGGTTCCAGGTTCCAGGGGATGGGGAAGACCAGGGCCAGCTGGCATGTAGCTTACGGGTGATGGCAAAGATTGGATGAGGGTAACTAATTACTCAACCTTGTGTCTCTCAGTGTCATGGCAAAGGTCTACTGAGCCACTGTTGCCAAAGCACAGGGACATCTACTAGGGAAGCTCTCTTTTCTCTCCAGAGCCCGCATACCTGGTCAATCAGTGCAGGCTACAGCCAAGAGGGCAGAAGACCACAGATTGTTCTCGCTACCCAGAATCCACAGGGCTTCTCACAGCCACCCAGTAGGGGGAGACACCCAAGTGGATGACACTAGCATTCACACTAATCTTAGAAAATGAAGCTTAAAGTAGATTTGATTTGATTAAGCAAAAGAAAAAAAATGAGGCGTTTCTTTTCTTTTTTTTTTTTTTTTTTAATGAGGCGTTTCTTGAGCCTCAATTATTTTATCTCAGGGTAGTTCATATACGATATGGATGGTTAACATCATCATTGACTTAGAAGGGTCAAAAACAAATGATATCCATTATTATCATCCTCTCCTTCACCCAGTAATACAAGGTATTACTATTATGTATTTCTAGTAACATTTAAATAGAACTCAACAGAGATTATCTCATAGATGTGGCAAGAAAATGCTATATGTTCATCAAATCAGTTTCACTACATTGTGGGGCAACAGAAGGACTACATTTCCCAGACTCTCATGCACTTATAGAGGAGCCATGTGACTAGTTCTGGCCAACGGAATATGGTAAAGATCTGGTCATAAAATTCTCTGCACTACTCTCCATACTGTCCCATTCCACCATGACTTTGGGGGACACATGTTGAAGATGATGGTGCCACAGGAAGGAAAAAAAAGCTTAGATCCTGATTGATTGTTTGAAACCCAGATTAGTCTGTGATGTGAGTACAAAATGAGTATTTATTATGTTATTCCACTGCTATTTAGGGTCATTTGTTACAGTAGCTAGCATTCTCTAGCTGACTGGTGATTTTTTTTCACAGTGTGTAGCCCATTTGATTCTGAAAAGAGCCCTGTGAGATTGGCAGGACAAATACTGTTCTCCCCATTTTACAGATACCAGTTCTGCAGCCCTTACCCTTGTCCTGTATTGCCTATCCAATTGTTGAAAATCATACCTGGAGGGAGCCAGGAGCTTCTATTCCCATTTTACAGATGGGGAACTGAGGCTTGGAGAGGATATGGGATCTACTTAAGGCCACCGAACTGTAGGAAGCAGAGCTTCTAGGTCAAGCACTCCTCCTTGAAAGCTGCTGTTTTACCTGGGACCATTTCCCTGCTTACTGGGAAAAGACCTAAGAGGGTACATCCAATGAAACTGTGTGTGCAGCTGGAGTACCAAGTGGAGAAATGAGCACAAGAGTCCCAGCTCTCACGCCGTGTTGTTGTTACAGCTCAAGAGACAAAAACAGAGAGACAAGAAGCCGGCAATATCCCAAGCACGTAGGATCCTGATAATTTAGGGTCTGTGCCTCAATTTCAGACCTTTCAAATCAGCCTCAGGACTTGGCATTACACTCTGTGCCCCCTGAGGAGTGATCTTTGACTTGCTGTGTGATCATTAGATGATACACATTTGGGCGGAGAATCATCTGTCCTTGTCCCAGGGTGACCCAGAGTAAAGAGTCAAGACTTTGGAATCAGCTCCCTGGGGCTCCAGTCCCAGATATTCCACATACTAGCTGTGAGCCATCGAGCAAATTATGTAACCTGTCTGAGCCTTGGTTTTTCTCCCATGAAAACAAGATTGACACAGCAAAATCCTTATGTCACAGAACCCTTCTGACACTTGATGCAATCCATAGTGAAGTCATTAAGAGTAGAGATACTAGAGCTAGACTGATAGGTTCAAATCCTACTTTGATCATACAATACCTGTGTGACCTAGGGAAAAAACTTTACTGCATCATGCCTCAGTTTCCCCTTGGTAAAATGAGAATAATCATAATACCTATCTATGGGATTGTTATGAAAACTACATGAGTTAATGTTTTTTGGGTGTTTTTATTACTCCTTGGTATATCTCTTCTTATTAAACTGCAAGTGCTTGGTAATTAACCTTAGCTGTTCTTGTCATTACGTTCATTGTCCAGCTTAGTGACCTGCAAGCAGCTGCAGCCTCACACACAGGCGTGGATGCAATCATTCAAGATGTTTTCACACTTGAGCAGGTGAGTTGGGCTCTCACAACCTGGCTGGGCGCAGGTGGTCCTGCCAGCCCTGGAGGTGCGCTCACCCACAGCAGGGGGCTCCTCACTCAGCAGCCAGGCTCCCAGACCCTGTCCCCGCACCACACTGACCTGAGCTCTCCATGGGAGCCTGTGGGGTGTGTGAGGAGGATGTGGTTGTCTTGGGCAGCAGAATGGAAAGCAGAGCGGTTGTCTTTGTGCACAGAGGCGGTTCTGCAAAATAAGAGGCAGTTAGTGTGAGTGGTGGAAGGTGCAGAAAGTGTATCTGGGACGTGTATCTCGGGAACCTCAGTTTCTAGCACAGTGGAGGGAAATCTGGACGTGAGCAATATTTAAGTAACACTGAAATGGCAGGAAGCCTCGATTTATCTAAGAAGTACAGATGGCTGTAGGTATCTATGGGTTCCACATGTAGATTCGACCAACCACCAATGGAAAATGGTTGGGAAAATTTGCATCTGAACTGAGCACATACGTAGTTTTTTCTTGTCATCTTTTCCTGAACAATACAGCGTAACAGCTACTTACATATCACATTTTTCTAGGCATTGTAAGAAACCTAGAATGATTTAAAATGTAAGGGAAGATGTGCATAGGTTATACGCAAATACTACACATTTTATATAGGAGACTTGAGCATCATGGGTGATGCCCTGTGGGAGGACCTGCACCAATCCCTTGAAGATATCAAGGGACAACAATACTTAAATAATGCTTAACTGGTGCTTACTATACGACCGGCACTCTTGTAAGCACTTAATAACATCAACTCTTTAATACAAATACTATACTAATGAAGTGGGTACTGTCTTTTGCCTGTTCTATAAGTGAAACTGAAGCACAGAGAAGTTAGATAACGATTCATGGTGGAATAGCCAGGAAGAAGAGGAATGTGGGCTTGAACTCAGACCATTTGGTTCTAGAACCTAAACCCTTTAGCTTGTCCACAGGCTGCCCATTGTGACCCCACTGGAGGCACCCCCAGAGTCTGCTACCCCGACAGTGAGCCTGATAATGGGAAAGAGGATTGCTGAACAAACACATAGGCTTCGTCTTTCAAGAGAAAACAAACAACCATGCACAGGCTTGGGAAAGCTGATGGAAAGAGAACAAAGTGACAAGTTTAGGAATGATGACTCTCATACGTCAAACCACAGAATAAAAAAAATTCTGTTATTCAAACTGCTCCAAAACATAGAGAAAAAGGTAAGATTCTTGGTTTTTTGCAAAAATGTCAGCTTAATCTCGATCTCAGTAGCTAATAAAAGTAGTTTCTAAAAATAGATTGAGTTGGGGCTGGGGATATAGCTTAGTGGCATAAGTACCTGCCTGGCAAGTGCAAGGTTGTGAGTTTGATCCCAGGTACTACCAAAAAAAAAAAAAAAAAATAGATTGAGCACTTCACAATCATTGGAATGGCTTATAACCCACACCAAACCAAGCAAACAAAAAACCACCCCCCCAAAAAAAGCTCACATTATTTATAATGGAGAAAAACCAGAATAAACTTAAAAGCCCAGTTATAAAGTATCAATTAAATATTTTATAGTCATCTGTGCTTTAGCATTCCATGAAGCCATAAAATGATGATGTTTATGTGTAAACAAAAAACAAGAAGGACCTGAAAGTAGAAGAGGGACTCTTAGGGAAAGGGCAGGAAAGGGGAGAGGGGGAGAAGGGAGAAGGCAAGATAGAAGGTAGTGTAGATGAATGTAATTAAAGCACGCTATATGCATACATGGAAACGTTAAGCAAAATATGAGTTAATATTTATGTTAAGTTATTTGAAAATGGTGATGTGTGTCTATATTTACTGAATTCAAAACTTTCCAAATTATTTATTTGTACGCAATAGATAACAAGATATCACATTTCTCATACCCGTTTTTAAGAGCATATTTCTAAGTTTGCATACATGCATTGAAAAACTTCAGGGAAAACAAAGCAAAACATGACACAGGAGGTTTTGGTTCTGGTTCTGGAAAAGACAAAGTTTTCCCCATCTAGAACTCTCCCACTAGACACAGCTGAAAAGTCCAGATAGTGGATCTGGAGCAGCTTCATGAGGATTCTGAAAAGTAGAGGGTAGCAGGCAGAATGTGGAAGGAAACCAGAACTCAAATTAAGAACAATCTGCCAATGAATTTTGTGGGTTTTGCCTCACTGTTACACCCTGTCTGGACAGAGACAAAGGAGGAACTTTCTTTTACTTTTTAGTCACTCCTGCTATGGGCCCAGGCAATCCTGCAACAGTGATGGGAATGTTAGCTCTGCGGGTGACTAAAATTCTGAGGCAGAGAAACTCTTCTCTTATAACCAGAGGAACTGTGGTCCCAAGGGCAGGGGAACAATCCTTATTGCCTCTCCCCTTTATTAGAGGAACAAAAACAGGTAAAGCAAACAAAATGAATATTAAAATGGCAGATTTCCAAATGTACTCAATAATTACATTAAATGTAAATGGTCTCAACACTAACTAAAGGACTGACTTTATGCTGTCTATAATAAGCTCACTTCAAATATGATATAAATAAGCTGAAAGCAACACCATACACAACAATAGCAGCATACAAATTCTTTACAAATATACAATAGATTTTCACCAAGATAGATTATGTCATGGGTCATAAAACAAACCTTAACAAATTTAAAATAATTACATACAAAATACATTCACTGACCATAATGAAATTGTACTTGAAATTGTACTTGAAATCAATAACATAAAAATGACTAGAAAATCCCCAAATTCTTCAACATTAAACAACATATTTCTAAATTATACATGAGCCCATAAATAAACCTTTCCCAACATAAACCAAAGATAGTACAAGAAAAGAAAAAGGACCAATTCCAGTATATATGAGAAAAATCCTCAACAAAATATTAACAAACAAGTCCAGCAATATATAAAAAGACTAACACACAATAACTGGATAGGTTTATTCTAGGGAGTCAATACTGGTCTAATATTTGAAAATCTTGTAGATCTAAAAAAATGACGATATCAGTTGATGTAGTATAAACTTTTGGCAATTTCAACACTTATTAACGATAAACATTCACAGAAAATTAGGAATATGAGGTAACTGTATTAATCTGATGAAGTAAAAGTAAAACCATAACTAACATAGTTAATAGTGAAAGACTGTTTCTCCCCAAAACTTAGGACCAGGCAAGGATGTCCACTCTCACCACTGCTATTCAGCATAAGATTTGAAGTCCTACACAGTGTGACAAGGAAAGAAAGAGGAAGGCGTGTGTGTAGGGGAAAAGCAGAAGGAGGAGGAGAGGGAGAGGAACAAGAAAGAGAAAAAAGAAGAAGAAGAATATTGAAAAGGAAGGAATAAAGCTATTTGCAAATCGTATGACCCTATTTGCAAGTGACATGTCTACACAGAAAATCCTAGAATGAACAAGAGGAATAATAAATACAGACAAAATGACCCTACAAAAATCTAGAACTAGTGAGAGAGTGCAGCAAGACAACAAGAAACGAAGATGACATACAGCATCAGTCGGGTTTCTCCACACTAACAGCAAACAATTGGAAACGAAATTTAAAACACAATACCATTTACAATAACTCCAAACGGAAAAATAAAAAGAAACACTAAAGGTATAAATCTAACAAAACCTGTGTAGGATCTGTGTGATGTAAATTATAAAATGTTGACGAAATAAATCAAAGAAGACCTACAGAAATGGCGACACATACTATGTTTACGGTTTGAAAGACCAATAGAGGGGGCCGGGGATATAGCTCAGTGGCATAAGTGCTTGCCTGGCAAGCCTAAGGTCATGAGTTCGATTCCTGGTACCAAAAAAAAGAAAAAAAAATAGTGAAAGATCAATATGGTAAAGATGTCAATTCTCTCCAAACTGACTTAGCAATTAACATGATTCCAATGGAAATATTAGATTCCAATTAAAATATCTATTAAAATAGCAAAACTACAAGAGAAATGTACAATTAAGGAGTTACTGGGGACAGGTGAGGATGCTTCTGAGTTAATTTTCAATTGTACTTTCATAGATACATTTAAGTAGATTGGACTTGTAAGCTATCAACCCTGAGCTGATTCTAAAATTTATAGGAAAAGGCAAAGGAACTGGAGTAGCCCGACAATTACAAAAAGGGCTATTGAAGGGCTCACACGCCTTACTGAAAAGAGAGATTCACAGATCAGATTGTATTTCCCCAGTTTTACTTATTTGTGTGTGTCTTGTCTTTTAAGGGTACACACTAAACCACAACAAAAACAGCAACAACAAAAGTGACATTGCTTGCTTATACACTGTAGGGTTACAGATAATTTTTATTTTAATACATTTCTACATTTTTGATTACTTAATAGTAAGTACATTTGACTCTCTTTTTACCACGCAGTGGATGGCACACACAAGAGAGCTAACATCTATGCAGGCTATGAGGTATAATGAAAATGAGCTCCCGTGAGCCCACCTACCCAATTTAAGAACAATGACACTGCATTGTGCTATGTAATTTAAAATCTGAACAAAAATCAAATCTTTTAAAGTAATCATTACTTTCTTCCTTTCTGGGCTGCAGAGACTGCTGAGCTGGAAGGCTGGGCTTTGCCATGCTGTGGGGCTGAAAGCCCAAGAATTGAGCTCAAGTCCAGTTCTCCCAGCATTGGCCTGGGAGGTCATCACACACCTCTCTGAGCTTTAACCTCCCCTCTTTCTCAAAGCACCACGTAGAAAGTGAAACACTGAATGACCAAAAGTCTACTGAAGAGAGCAAAGTGTCAACCACTCATGCTGTTCTCTTCTAACATGCTTCCTGGACCAGGTGTGGTCGTGTACACTCGTAGTCCCATCTACTCAAAGGCTGATCACTTGATCCCAGGACTTAAAGACCAGCCTGGGCAACATAGTGAGACTCTATTGCAAAAAAAGAAAAAAAAGAGAGAAAAGCAATGAACTGTGAAAATCTGACCATGAGTGAGAGACTGTGGTTAACTTGGGGCATTCCCAGTCTCAGTAAAGGAGCTGAAAATGGCCACGTAGTACGATCAGAGTCCCCACAGGCAGCTGGGCACAGGGCAGAGTTAGGTCATAACCCCACATACAGTACTGGGGAGGGAGGCCAAGAGGAGCTTTTCCCATAGGACCTAGGAAGCCAGGGTTCCCAGGTCCTCCTCTGTTACCTCTGGGGATGTGAGGAATGATGCAACCTTACTCCAACT